AACGGCTAAACATTGGCTGGACCAAGGCTGAGGAAGGGCCGAGGAATCCAGCCAGTAACTGACACCTGCGATTCCTCATCGCTGCAGGGGCATCAGCCCCTTCCAGCTCGGCAACGGCTAAGTGGCGACGGCACCGAGACGAGGCTCCGGAGCCACACTCGAACATGACTCTGGCGCGTGACATCGAAGGGGGCGAAGTCGGGGGTTTTGCAGTACAGTACGTAGGTACCTTAGAAGGGTGCAGGAGCGAATTTGCGACGGCATGTGGCAGCACGGGGTGAATTCATTCTGGCTGCAGCACATCACACCTTAGAAAAGTTAGAGTGTAGGTATTCATCGCTGCTCCCTCTTGTGGCATAGTCTGCTGGGGAATACCAAGTCTGTGTTCGTTTTGTGCTTTCTTTTCTTGCAGGATGTATTCGGACGATTTGCGGGATGCTCCCGCAGACGAAGTGCCGGGCCCCTACCAGAGCACATGAGGGTTGCGCTGCCGCATTGAGGGTTTATGGCCCTACCGCTGACGTGTCGCACTTGTATTCTTACGATTTGCCAGCATTTGTCTGCGTTCCACTTTCGAGGGGCACAGGTCTGCGGAGGTTTTTTCAAAGGGTGTCCTAGCGTTGCGAGAGATGCTTGGTGCTGCCCGTGGTGATAGCTCCTTGTTCCCATCCGGTGCTGCTGGCTGTCGAAGGCTCTATCGTCAGCAGCAAATCTGCATACCGAGGCCAGTCGAATGGGTTTTCGAGGCCCACGATGATGCCGACGAGGAGGCCGATCGGAAGGGACACCTTTGAGCGATATGCCTAGCACAGCATGCATGGCGGAAGAAGAGCAGAGACTTTTAAAGCCGAACTAGGGCCTTCATTTTCCAAGACGTCGTTCTCACTTGAAGGAAACCGGACGACGGGACAGTCACAGAGGTCCCTCTGAGTCTCACACGGCGTTCCCCAGCGTCCCCCCTCCTCTAAGCTTAGTTCCCGCCTCTTTTAAGCTTAGAGCCTCCCTTTCCTCGCGGCTCGCTTTGCGAAAGCGGCGAGGTGCTGTCACCTCCCGCCTCGGGCGCCTCAAAGAGTTGGCTGCCGGGGTCCGAGTCCCCACTGAGGGCTCTCGGGCTCGGGTTTAGGCCCTCTTGGGGCTCTTGGGGTTCTTCTTGGGGTTCTTGGGGATCGGAGCGGTAGAATCATCAGCCCTGCTATTAAGCAACATACTCTTCGGATCGAAGAGACTGCTCTGATCGCTTCTGTGCGGCTTCTCTCTGGGATGAGCAAAGCTCGTAAGCCGACCCTGCCAAGGAGCTGGCTGCAGGGTACGTGGGCTTCTCAGATGGAGTGACCAAGGGCAAGGGGTTGTTAGAATCAGACTCTCCGGGAGGAAGCCCATGTCCTTTATCCTGAACGCAGAGTTGGGACATCCTTCAATGACTGTCGGGTTGCGGATTGGTCTGCATCCGGGCTTCCTCGGTGGGATTTCGGTGTGCCCTGGGTGTCTCTAAACGTCGCAAGGGGAAAGCATTCCGGACTTGGCCAGGCGACACAGGAAGAATCAAGCGTGCATGCTTCGCGCTCGAATTTGCTGGCATCCGACTCACTGCCACCCAGGCCTGCTCCGAAGGGGCACCAGTACTCGAGGTGCGGACGTGAGTCGGGGTTTCTGAAATTCCATGACTCACCCAGTGCTGCCAAGGGCCAGCAGCCAAGAAGCGCAGAAAGCTAGTTGACGCCTTTCAGAAACGTAGCTCAGCCAGAACCGTGAACTTCAAGCCCTAGTCGCGGACCAAAGGCGGTGGGCACCAAAGCCGGCCATTGTGTCAATCCTGAAGCCCAATGCACTCAAACTAAGTTGAAGTACTGGCCCTTTTGAATCAAAGAAAGGCACTTGAAGGTCACGGCGAACCCTGCCATAGCCCGTGACACATGTTGTTGAGCACGGCAACTGGTCCAGGACTGTATGTTTGGCTGGGGGGGTGCGTGCTGATTTTCGTCGAGGGTTCGCAAGGATTGAAGTAGCTTCAAGCACAGGCGAGAGCAGCATGACTTCTTTGAACTCCAGAGAAGAAGTTCCGTTCCCTTATACTTCAGAGTTACAACGCAGAAGACCGCAGCTGTCGGCCCTCCAGGGAGTCGGATGCCTCTGCGGGCTCCCTTCCCCAGGAGTCCGAGCCGGGACTCCCATCTATCGGGGCTGGGAAAGTTCAGATGGCTGGACTCAAGGTGACGGGGCTTCAAGGCTTTGGGTTTAGAGCTTGGGGCCTTGGGCTTTGGATGGGAGATGCTTCGGCTTCCAAATGGCCCAACGGCAGGTAAATTTCAGAGCTCAAAGTCGGAGATGGCTGTGTCTGTTAAATGTTATGACAAGTATCGCGTATGTTCACGCCAGGAAAGTAGAAGTCACGAGCTTTTGGGGTCAGAGTTGTTTCTGCTTGTTTCGGAAGAGGCTTCAGTTGTTGCCTCTTCTTAAAGACTTTCAGCTTCCTTGCACCATATGCAAGTCTAGGACAGGAAGAAGTTCAGCTGCTTGCTGTGACTTTAGCGACAGGCATCGTGCACCAAAATGGCTCACAAGTCGACACCCTGACGTCTGGATCCGCAGAAGATTTCCCAAGGCCTTCGCGAGAACCGCCGGATTTGACCCCCTCTGCACCGGCTTCGGCCGCGAAGCCTAGTGGGTGCTTCGCTCAGCTACACATCGGTTTGGGGTTTAGACTTTGGCGGTGTGCAAACATTCCCTTGGACGGCTGTCGGCTGTGGAAGTTGAGCTTCGGAATGCCGGATGGAGCAAGGGCGTATTGCATGTCAGGAGATGTCCTCGGTAGGCCACTCTTGTGAACCTACCCAGGAAATTCTTCGTCCTATCCGCAAAGAGTCAGCATCCCCTTCAACAGAGCTTTAGTTGAGGTACACTGGCATCCTGGGATGGATGACTGGACAGGCGTGGGGACCTCAGGAAGTGAATCTGGTTGCAGATGCAGAGATCGCCTACCGTCTTGATTATGGCCACAGAACATCTGCAATACAGGAGATTAGGTTGACAAATGCCTGTTTAATCCAGGTTTGCAGATGAGCCAGATGCACCTCTCCCGCCACACGCCCAGCAGCAGGGGTTGCCTCCGTAAGAAGAGGCGAATGCCATGTATCCTCAGGCCTCGCACCGAAACCCGCTCACACCAACACACAGACACCATCTCCAAGTGTTGGATGCAAGGGCTCCGCTGCCGTCGCGCTTGGATCCTGAGGATGAGGAGAGTGTCAGGCATGTGACAGTGGTCGGGGGATTGGGCTCCTTCGGGTTTCGGGTCCAATGCTGTGCAGGTATCCGTTCTGTTTCTTTTACCTAGACCTAGATGCCGGACTCAGCATGGATCTGTGAAGTACCCTTCGTGGAGTTTCCTGTCGCGATCGAAGGCACTCGTCACCTTCAGCTCCAGCACGCTCAGCCGGACCCTTAATTGCAGGAGCGACAGCAGCGACAGAGTCAGGTGCAGAACACGGCTGCGGGGGTATGTGTGTATTCACTAGTGTATCTTTATCAGTCTAGCTATTTTCTATCTGTCTATCCATCTAATCATCAGATGAAGTGTACGTGATGTCCCGTGAGACCTGAGGTGGTGGAAATAGATATCCCTGGCGGGATGTTTTCTGAAGATGAGGCCCCGCCGTGCAATATCAGCATGGCAGAGACAGGCAAATGGAGCTGTACGTACATTTACATACATGTACACATGCGCAAATGTAAACGCAAACGCCCACACGTAGACACATGCACATACACATACACATGTACATGTACATATACATCAGCACATTCACACATACACATACACATGTACATACACATCAGCGCATTCATCCATACACATGCACATACATATACACATACATATTCGCATACATATACACATACAAACATGTACATCTGTCTGTCTGCATATATGTATGTATGTATGTATGTATGTATGTATATGTATATGTATATGTATATATATATATATATATATATGTATGTGTGTACATATATATACACATGTGCATGACATATATATATATATATATACACACCAGAAAGTCACATGCTTTTCTAGACGTCTATATACTTGCAGGAATAAAATATATGTATGTGTCTGTATATGTTTGTTACATATGCGTGTATCTACCTGTATATCCACATGCGCACATGCTCCGCTCCCTATCTTATGTGCATACATGCATACATGCGTACATATGTGTATATACAAACTAGTCATAGACAGAAAGGTGTATAGATAGGTAGATAGACGGATAGATAGATAGACCAATAGATAGATCGATGGATAGCTAGAGGATAGATTGGCTGATAGATGGGTTTATATAGAGATGGAGAGATCGACATTTTCCATGCATACCCTGCGGTCTCGAGCTTGCCCGGGCAGCTTCAACCTTGGGTTGCGTGCTCATGAAGCCATCTCGAGCTGGAACAACAGTTTGATTGGTGATGCCGGCTGTCCAAGAACTTCCGTGCGTGCATGCCTCCACCCACATGGATGTCGTGGCTGCGGAAGTGAGTGCAATTCATGCATTGTGCAGGTCATAGGCGAGAGGAACGTACACAGAGCGGCTTCCACCGCAACGAACGCTCCGCCGGTTCCTGGCCTAAGTGGTGTTTGGTTGAGGATGCACGGCTAGTTGCCTAAACTTCTTTCCGAGGCGTCATCCTCGGCTGCCAGCAGAAGGGCGGCCCCGAGACATGCTGAGGCATAGAGCTGGGCTGCTGGGCTGGTGCATGCGCCGTTGGCTGTGCCAGAGGGGTTGGGCCAGAGGTGCGTTGAGCACCTGCACTTGCGTAATTCAAGGAGTGGAGTCAGTCGGTTCTTGAGAATCAACTGCGGTTTCGGAGGACATCAGTCGGCCGCAGAAGCTGCCGGACAGACAGGCCTTATGGACATGTATAATGTGCGCAAAGTAGCACGACTCGGCTGCGAGTTTCAAGGGTTCCCCTGCTCCTGCTAAGTCCAGGTGTCTTTCGACATGGATGGCATTCCGGGTCCGGATTCGGAAAGACCGCGAAAGCACACGGATCCAGGCCGATGAGGGAAGCAGGGCGAGAGAGAGGCGTAAAGTTTGGGTGCCTGTTGACGATGAGTTTGTTCCTATATCCATCTTTTGCACTGCTTCTTCTTCCTGAGAGCAGCTTCGTCGCACTGGGACGGCAGCATTCATTGCACTGATGGTGACGGATTTGCCTCAATAGGCAAACCAGGGACTTCCTCTCTAGACTAGATCAAGATCCTTTTCGTTCAGACGACGCCCTGTCGCAGACGATTTCATCGCGAGATTCAACCACGCCGACGCTGCCGAAGCTGTAGCGGCGGTAACAGCTTCAGACGATTTAGCAGCGGACCCAGCCGGTGCCAGGAGTAAGTGACATGAAGATGATGTGAAGGCGAACCGTTCAGCTTGCAAGCATCAGAATAAGAGAAGTTCATACTGGATGGGTTCCTGAGTTCCTCCGATGTCGAGGTGCCGCCGCCCCTACCTCCACCCAACGAGCCACCGGCCCCAGAGGAGGAGCAGGCAAGGACGTGGAGGGCTTTCGGGGTTTTCTGGCTGCATCATGGGACTTGGTCCATCGGTTCAGGTTGGGTTTCTTTGTGTGGCTAAGGCCAAGCGCGAACTTGCGACCTGCGACCGAACCTGGCACGAGAGTGGTTTCTCGCAGCAAGTAAGCGCCCCTCCCCCCGCAGCACACATATACCGTATACCATTGCAATAGCTGTCGTTCTTCGAAAGTTGCTTCATGGCATGGCTCCTGGGATCCAGTGCTCCTTTCAGCTCCTCCCCTGAAAAGCCTGTCTGAAACAGTTGGTCCTTGCGAACGTACCCACAGCCAACCGCCTCCTGCGGCTCAGGGCTTCTACGAGATCCATGAAGCGTCTCCGGAAGCAGTGTCTGGTCCTTAGCGGCTGCGAGGCTCCGGCAGGCAGCCCAAGAAGGTCCAACAGCCATCCTCAGATCGAAATCCCCAAGCTCGTCTTTCAGTTCCTACGTATGCCGCATGATTCAGACTTTGTCCAAGCCAGTTCATGTGAGCATCGCTCTGGCCCAAGGCTCATCGCAAACGTCGGGCAGGTCCGCCAGATTTCCGGTGTAGGAACTGCATATACAAGCTTTCAGTTCGCGGCACCATGCGGTAGGGCCCCCTCTTTCCCGATGAGCTACGGTGTGTGGGAGGCTGTAATGGAGGAGCAGCCCAAAGAGGCGGATTGTGGAGCAGAATGAGCTTCTGGTTCTCTGTCTTCGACTCCTTTGCATCTCATTCTTGCGTTCGACTTTCACACCAACGATTGTTCCAAGTCACCAGGTTTCCGTGAGAGAGGCTTGTGTCAAGAAGCGCGTGGCAGGTTGACAGGGAAGTTGAAGGTCGAGAGCCCTCGAAGCAGGTGGGGAGACATGCGCTCATGCGCTTGACAGCTTCGCCAATGGTGTTTGTTCTATTTTAGTATAGTTTGTATGGGATTCCACAGTGTGCAGATGTATCTAGGCTCAAGCAGCGCTGCGGTGAGGGGACGGGTGGGTGCGAACTGGCAAATGGCAGCGGCAGGGGTGCGTGCTGGAAGAGCTCGCTTCGCACTTGCAGCGAGCCAGAGCCGAAGGGTTGCAGCGAATGCGGAATCGATTCCGGTGTCTGCTCGCTGGCTTCTCAAGGAGAGCTCGCGCCAGCCGGCTTACAGCCCGGATGGCCGATTGCGCCCCGGTCTGAATGTGCTGGAACCCGGGCAGTGGCTGCTCAAAGATGAGGATGATGGTGAGGTCATCGCGATGAAGCGGGCTGTGCTTGATGACCCCCAGGTCGGTGAGAGCTTGTGGGTCTCCGATGGGAAAGCATCGACCGTAGCGGCCGAGGAGGAGCTATACTCCTTGGTGGCCGACTGCCAACCGGTCCGGGAGCCCATCGAGAACCGACCGCTGATCACGGCAGCAGCACGGCTTGTCAGGGAAGACCTCATACTGTTGCGACAGCACGGCGACACTCCTGCTACGATGTGCTCTGCCTGCGTTTGCTTCTCCTTTGGCCAACTGCTGACCAAGCTCGGTGCTCCCCTTGCCGACATACACTCTCCGGTCCCTGGCTATGCGGAGAGCCTGCGCAGACCTCTGGATCGGATCTTTGCCAAGCTGGGGCCTGCCAAGAGCTTCTGGCGAGCCAACTTCGAGTTCCGATGGTCTGGGGAGTTGTTGCATCCCTCCGCACGGGGCGATCCGAGCTTGAAGGGAGATTTGTCCCACGTGGCTGGCGGGTCCGTGGACGACAGCCTGGGCCCGGCCGACATGTACTTGAGGGTCGAGTATCAGACGCTCCGCCGCCTGCCAGAGTCGCAGCACATCGCTTTCACCGTTCGCTCCTACACTGACCCCCTGCCTTGTATTGCGGAATCGCCCGTTTGTGCCGTTGCTCTGGCAGACCGCGTGAACGGGCTTAGCGCCGACTTTGCTGCGTACAAGGGAATCACCGAGAGCATGCGACCCCGCATTGAGGCATATTTGAGAGGATCCGATGACAGGGCTGGATAAAATGAGCAGAGAGACTGCCCTTAACAATTGCCAAGTAAGGGTCCTTCATTCACCAGAACCCCGGTTTCCAGGGCTGTCCTTGAGTGGTGCGCCCAGTGAGATTTTAAGACGAGGCTACAGGCACCAGTGACGCGCTTCTTGTTAAATGCAGTTTTTTCGTGGTTTTTCCCACATCCTAACAGCACAACAACTAGACACGGCAATACGTGTACCTCAGAATATCTATATCTATCTATCTGCATATATCTGTATCCCTATCCCTATCCATATTTCTATCTACGTCAATGTCTGTGTCTACGTCTAGATCTATTTCTATGTATCTGTGAGTCTGCGAACCTCTATGCATTTCTGTCTACATATTGTGTTTGTCCTTCCTCTCTCTCTTTCTATAGACACTTACATAGATAAATTCTTGGGCAGCCTATGAAATAGGCATAATATGCATACGCATACATACGCATACATACGCACACATACAATACATGCAGCACTTACAATACACATGTACTGTGCACAGTATACATACATTACATACCTACCTACATACCTTCATCCATGCATGCATGCATGCGTGCACAAATACGCATGCCTAGCCATGTACAAACATATACATACATGCATCTGTATATACATATAGATAGACATGCACATATGCATATACATATCGGTATACATAGCGAGATGCATCTAGATATACATATAGATATAAATACGTATAGAGATAAATACATATACATATACATATGGATACCAACACACACACAATATAAATAATTAAATGTGTATATATATATAACATGTATATATACGTATATATATCCATAGTATATGCATATGTATATGTATATGCATATGTGCCTGTAGATGCATATGCATATGCATCCGTATATGTATGCGTGCACACATGTACCTACGCATGTATCCAGGTAAGCATAGATAGATAATTTTACCCAACAAACACACACCGACGGATAATGGTAGTGTTGGGCCTTTTTTGGGGTAGGGATTAGGGTTTCGCCCCTCCCCTCCTCATCTCCCCCGTGTTGTCAAGCGCGTTTCGTAAGTTTAGTGCTCGGTTGCAGAAGAATGAGGTTTTGCCAATGAATCTTGCAGTATCCGTGTGGGATAAGTATTCGACGAAAAAGATTTCTTCAAGCAGTTTCAGTCGGCAGCTTCGATTCAAGCTGTTTCAAAGGTTAGGGGTTAGCATATCGTGTGGTGCCCCGATCATCACTGAGGAATCTTGTTCGTCAGAAGACACGAACGAAGTTCAGCCTGTCGCTTCCTTGAGATAGGAGTGCTTTCCAATGAAGTCAAGCGATCTCTCCAAATTAGCTCTCACTCGCTTCTACTTTGTGCGCGGTGCAGTGCTGTTCACTGAAGCAACGTGGCAAAGCGCCCGTTCCATCCGCACACGAATCAAGAATCCAACAGGACAGCCGAGTTGTGTAAGATGTGCAGAAGTATGCAGCTAAGAACGTGATTACCCGACGCCCAGAAGAGAACTGCAGCTCGGAGCCGCAAACCAACTCGTCTTCTGAGATAGAAAACCCACACAGCTGTCTTCAGCTCTACGGCATGACCATGTGACTCAGACTTAGACTTAGCTGTGACGGAGCAAAGGTGGGTTGTGGCGTCAGCCTTACTTGTATTCTGGAACAGGATGCGCATCCAGCAACTATCCCGGAGGAACCGCAGGCGGGGGGAGAGTTATGCTTACACACCATGTCAATTCGCAGGGAGCACCTCTACCGCAAGAAGTGTGTCCAGACACGCAGCAGTCCCCAAGAAGTCACGGCTGCCCCCCGCTACTGCGCGCGTCTTCCGAAGAAGTGACCCCTAGCCGCCTTCTGCCCTGCAGGCCGATGTCGCTGTTGTCGTGGATCCCGGGGACACAGAGCCGAGAACCCAGAGCAAAGCGGGGATTTGATGCATCGGATGCGGAGTCCGTTCCATCGGGTCGCGAGTGGAGCACCGGCCTGGTTTCAAGGACAAAGCGTGTCGTGGAGATGCGGCGTACCGCACAAAAGCTGCAGCCACTTAGGGGTGAAACCGTAAGCCCAAGGGGATCTGTCAAATCCCAGAACCGACCTGAAAGCGCATGCAAATTTCGCAGCCGAGCTTGGAGACTTCACGGCTTTAGATGGGAGACAGAGGGTGGATTGCGAGAACGGTTGTCCAAGCAGCCATGGTAGTAATGATGATGCAAGCGACAGTGGCGATTACTAGTGATTACTAATTACTACTACTATTTGTATGCTTCTACTTGTTATCGTGGTCGTCGCCGTCATGCATAATCCGCAACCCAGGGCCGAAGATGACTCACCGGAAGGCACGATGCAAGTTTGAAGCATTGCTACAAGATGATGTTCATTCTGGGGCATGTCTGCGCATGTCGTTCGATCGCTTCTGCACTCTGTAAGGAATGTATGCTGCGCTGTAAATGATCTTGTTCAATGTCTACAAGCCGATAGTGCAGCGCCTTAGGACGTGCAGCAGCTTCCTGGGTTGTGGACATGATGTTCCTGCACCTTGCGGGAGACCTGCAACATCGTAGGCTTCTCGACGAGAGAAAGCGTCCAGCCCAATCCAGACAAGATTGTACGAATGCAAGTCCCGAGCCCGGAACCCTCAACCATAAATCCTAAACCAGATAGTGGGGTCATTTTGTCAACCAGGCTTGCCCAACGAACCTCGGTTCTACCAAATCCAAAACAACCGTGCAAAGAAGCCCTGACCCTAAAGATCAATTCCGATCGCACTCCAAGCACCTACAAACCCATGTGGGCAGGTCAACAGCCTCAACGGCGAAGATGTTTTGCTTGTTGTTGCAACAAGGCTGGGTAACGATTTGAGAAGGTTCGTATGGTTGCCCAGGTCGAGAGTTTGATATCACTTCCTTCAGCCTTGGTGCAACGAGCAGGTGTGTCATCTTTTCTACCTGCTTTGGTGGTGTTCGCTGTCTGAGGTAAGCATGTTCGCTGTAGTGACCGAAGTTCATTATGTGCATTCTCAACAAAGGGCTGGCTGCAGTCACATCGCTTCTGAATTTACTGCTACGTTTTTGCAGACCTTTGGCAACTGAACTTGCCCTCCCTTTGCAAGCACATGCCAATGGTAAGAGGGTGCCGCCTGGCCTCAGCCTCTGACGCAGGCGCCACGCAAGAAGCAGAAGCCCAAGGCGGTTGAGGCGACTCTTCAAACGCCCATCGCAGTTTCAGCCTTGCTCCCCACTGTCGTGGCTCTCACGTAACTCAGCTTCGACAATACTGTGCGAAGCCTCGATGATGTGAAAACCAAGCAAAATCGCTGGGCTTTCATGAGCTCCGAGCATTATCGTGCTGATGGTGCCAGGACACTGCTTCAGAAGACTACAGGCGCCAGACATCTTCAGGGTGTCCGATTGTTTGACGTGGTGTCTTTAGGGGTTCGCAACGAAACGGTTGCATTCATAAGCAATGGGGCCGGCAAACAACTCATGACACTCTTACCAATTATACACGGATTGTGCCCTGCTGCTGGCAAAAGTTGCAAGCGCACTCGCTCCGATGAGCAACTTCAGCCGGTACTGGACTGCTCACACTTCAGCAGAGGCTGAGTCTGGCCGAGAAACCCGACAATTAAGATGTGCCTGTAATTCAGATGACAAAGGCTTTAAAGGGCTTCGCCCTTCTTGTCTCATTCTTCTGCAACAAAGTACGCCGAGTCCGTGAAAGGCACCAGCAGAGCAAGCTGCTGGACGAGGAAATTGAAGCCGTGGGCCGAGCTCGTCTCGTTTACTGTACGTCATGCAAAACGGAAGCCGGCAGAAGCGGCCGGGTGTGGGATGTCAGTTACATGGTAGCAGAAATTGAGAAGTATTGCGATCTGATCCAGCCGCGGTCTACTCAGGACTTTAGTGGCACACCTTTTGTGACCTTTGTGGCCTGGATAACACATCGAGGACGGGAACCATGCCATCGAACATCCCGAACCTGCTAAGCCTAGCTCATGCCGTGCCAGGACTCGCGCGGGCGCCCATGTGCTGTGTGGCAGCCTTTGACTGTTGGCAAAGGGTTTCGTAGCACTAGCTCAGACAACGGTGGGCACACGCATAGGATCAGAGGTGTCAGAAAGGCGACCCTCGGAAACGTGTTTTCCCGGCTGTTTCCTCCCCTGCATTGATTCTGCCCAGAGTTTTTCCGGTAGATTCGCGAAGGTCGTCCAACTGGGCCACAAGCAGACCGTAGTTCTGCGCTTCCCAAGCAAGGCAGTGCTGAGAGTGCTTTTTGCTCAGGTGTGCAGTGGGATGCTCCTCGTCATTGCAATCATTGCAGGGGGCATGGCTCCAGTCTTACTTTGCTGCCTGAGACATCTTGCAGGAAATTCAAACTTCTGGCGAAACTGGACTTCGACCAGTCGTGTTTGTCATGAATGGTCTGCAGATGCGTGCGAGCCGTCATGAGGTTTGTGAAGCACGATGCATGTGATCGGGGCAGACACCATGATTGGACCATCTGCGACATCCGAATCAAGGTCGCGAGACCTCCCAACGTGGATGTGGACTGGGGAGCGCGAGAATCTCAGGCTAAGTTTTCTTCAGGGCTGGCTAGGACCAGAAGCCAGGCATTCCTTCAGGACGCAACCCCTTCATACGCAGCCTTGCAAAGAAGTATGTCGCAGAGAGAAGTGCACTGTCAGGCGACTACAGACCTAGTCTAGTATTTGCAGAGTTTTGCGGACTGTTCCAAGAAGCTTCTGGAGATGGAGAGCTCAGTCTGTCCTTCGACTGTCCTCGCAACTCAACTCTACAAGGTCACACCTTCGGATTCGGTGAAATAGCCTGCTGGCCAAGGTTCCTTAAAACGGACGTGAACACGTCCACGATGCGGGACGTCTTCCTGCCCGAGCTCCGGCGTGGTCATTGTGCATTGCCTGCTTCTCCCTTCCGGATCGTAATTTTAGGTTCACTCTGCAGCTGTTCAGCATGACAGCCAGCGGCCAGCGGCCAGCACGGAGAGAATCCGTGTCTGTGAGGAAGCCATCGTACTTCCGGGGGACAGCCGGAATTTGCAAGAGCCGACCGCAAAACTTACTGCTTATCTGTATATTCAATGTATCAGTATATGTACATATATATGTATATATATATATACATATGCACATGCCATATATGCCCATAATATACATATCTGTATGAACGTAAATGTATATGAAGGTCAGATGTATAGGTATACACATAAGATCCCATGCAAGGTATAAACCATGCCATACATGTTCTGTTCGATATTCTGCCTTTATCAGGTTTGCACTTCAGCATCGGCAAACCGAGCGGAGGCTTACGGAGGACTGCATCCAAGCCAGTGTCGAAGGTCCGGCCCATTTGGTGGAGCTTCCCATGGTGTTTCGGTTCCGACGGAGTTTCTCGCGTCTGGGGCCTTCATCCCAGTCCTCGAGTTCAGTCTTCTTTGCCAGATCGCACTGGGCTCCCGAGTTTACTTTTCGGCAAGTCGCAGCCTATCGAGGCTAAGCGGCTTAACAGTTGCCGCCGCAGAACTGATGAGCAAGAAGCCGAAGAAGATGTGAAAAATCGAAGTCTCTGAAGCCTCCGAAGGGCGTGAGCATGAGTCCCTGGCAGGAGACTGAGCTGGTCGAAGACCGCCGGCTCCAAGGCCTCAGGGCCTCAGGGTACCAGCCGCCGCTTCTGACGGATAGAAGTTTGTCAGTTGCGAAGGTCCAGTCCCATCAGCATCATTGGAAGAGTCCTGAGAGTTAGTATCACCACCATCATCGCCATTACCAAGACCGTCATCACATTTGCATCATCATCATCATCATCATCATCATCATCACATCATCATCATCATCATCATCATCGTGGTAAACATCATCTGGGCCACCATCACACAGGATTACCGCCGCCACCACTATCATTATGTAACGATTGCATGTGCCGGCGGGGTCATGGGATGGTTTCAGGATCGCTTCAGGAGTCAGGCCAGATTGGCAGACGAAGCAAGTTTAATTTGACCTCGACTTGCAAACTGTGGCGGTCGAAAGTCGCTAAAAACGCGGGTGCTCCGTGTCTGTGCAACTCTCTCTCTCTCTCTCTCTCTCTCTCTCTCTCTCTCTCTCTCTCTCTCTTCCTCTCTCGCAAAAGTGCAGAACATTGGGCAGGTAACAGGCTTTACAAGCACAGCGACATTTTCTTGGCGTGACCCGGCCTTCATGCTTTCCGGGGATGTCCAGGAGCTTGATCAGCTTGTGACCGGCCTGCTTCCCCAGTCAGAAATTAAAGAACACATGTTTTTGTCGTGCTTGTTTCTGAAGGCAGCATTCGTCGCTGGACATTATTGAAAAGACACAGCCTGGCGCCGAAGCCTTCATAGCATCAAGGAATCAAGGATTGAGGTCTCAGACTTCAAAGAGCACCTTAAGGCTTGTATAAGCCGGAGAAAAGATTGACTTGCTATTGCAAAGCATGAAAACAGCGAGGAACGGCTTCTTAGATGGGTTGTTGGAGCAAGAAGCTTACCCATTCCTATCTGTAGGTGCTTACGCGCTTCAGGCGCGATTTTGTTCTGGTATGGAAGGGCCAACGAAGATCCTCCCTGCTTCGGGGATGGGAGCAAAAAAGGTACGACTTTCCCGACGATACCAATGCCGGCCCGAATGGATGGCTGGACTCCGGGCATCTGTATTCTGCACTGCCGGCAAGTCTGCAGTATTCGCGCACTTGCTGTTACAAGCTGTTGCAGGGTTCGAGCTAGATGCATCATGGTCTCGACCAAAGTACGGAATTGCGGAAAGTTCGCAGAGCGTTTCTTCTAGGTGAGGCCTCGTCGGCGCAGTTCCTGAATCTTCTGGCACAATCCCCACCCCTGTCACGGAAAAGCCTTTGTGGCCTTTGCCAGGTAATGTCTTTAGAGAGGAGGCTGCGCAGCACTGCGATGCATTCGCCTCGGCTTTTCTGACGCTGCAGCGCCAGCAGCTCGCTCCAGTACAGACGGGATCTGACGGGATCACGCATGCCTGCTAAGGTGGCAGCAGCTCTGCAATAGATCGGATGATGTTGAATCTGAGCTGCAATTTAGTGTCCTCGTCAGGAAACATGCTCCCAGGACGTCTGGACGACTGAAAGTTAGGGTTGGGTGCTGCATCACTTCCGGCGGAAACATGTCTGACACTGCCTGATCCTTTTTGCTGAGCTGCTGCACGGAGCTCGAACTCTAGAACTTGCATCAGGAGTTGACTTCATCTCGCAGCTCAGCTGACGCGATGGCCGTCTCAGAGCACGTGGCAGTCAGCCCAGCATCCGCCAACCGGAGACACTGGTGGGCAAACGGAACGTCGTGGCCTTCGTTGCTCAGCATTCACTGGCAATCGCACAGCCTCGGCACGTTCAGCCCTGTGCCCGTGCTGAGTCGCGGGGCCACTGTCTCGCTGGCTCTGGCGAGTGTTGTCTTCCTCGCCTTTGCTTTCCGTTTTGTCAGTGCTGGAGTGGACTTCATGAAGGGGCAGGCGAAAGACGAGGGCTGCGCCCGTACGCAGGTCTTCCACATCTTTTTCGCCGGCAGCTCCTGCCTTCTTGCCGGTGCACGGCTGGCTGTTTTGGGAGATCACTTGGACCCAGCCTTGGGTCTGTCTTTGGGTCGTGCGGGCGCCTGCCTTCCGCTGGCCCTGGCCCTTGGCCGCGCAGCTGGCGCAAGCCTGCGGGAGGTCGCACCTGTCGCGGTGCTCTTGGCGGTGAGCTGGCTACAGCTTGGGTTCTCCGCAGTCACCAGCCAACAGGCCATGCACCTGGGCCTGTTCTGTTCGGGTTCCCTTTGTGCACTGGTGGCTGTCCAATCGCTCGCTGCAACTTTGGAGGGCAGCTGGCGTGCCGAGTATGTGAAAAACCGGCTGTCCTTAGTGATGTCCTTGGTCCAGACCCTCACTATGGTCCAATTGCTTGCGTGGCTCTTCACTCTGGCATTTCCGATTTCGGAGTCCGAGCCTGGGCGGAAGACTCGCTCCTTCTCCGGCTTTGCGCTCGACAGCTTCTTGGATGGACTGGTGTTCTGTGGCGCGGGGCACCTGCTCCTCAAGAAGCAAGCTATCCTCCTCTCTCTTTGCCAACAGTGTGCTCCAGTCGACGTACCTTGTGATCAGAGTGACACTTCCAGCCACACTTCGGCTGGACTATCTTGCACGTCTGAAAGCTCGCAGATGTCCGAGACGTCCGTGTTGATCACAGCCCAGTCGGGACGTTGATCACAATTCTGAGCAGAACATGCTTGCGCCGCGCTCTTCGATTTGTTAGGGTTTCGAAGGCAGAGCTTGCAGGCAAGAAACCTGCAGTACAGTACCAGTAGAGCGGCACCGTGAGTGCCAGGAAGAAGTGAGCTCTTGGGGCTGGTGCTCAGTGGCTTAGCGAGATCGAGTGTTGTGGACGTTGTTGAATTGAAAGCAGCCCCCGAATAGCTGCGCTCATGGCCTTTCTTTTATGGCAAGCGCAGCTTATTCTGACAGCACGATTAAAGCGAGAGCTGTCCCATGGATCTTCAAGCAGTAGATTCTGTGGCTGAGGGTGCCGCCACACCGGGCAAGGAAAAAAGCGTCAGAGCATTCGTGCATGAGCTCGCAAGTTTAGACAGCAAGCGAGATTTGTTTCGGTCAATACTCGGCAGCGGATTTTGCTCTCGATCACCATGGGTTGCCACGGCCAGCGTTGCTCTGCCCAGGACAAGCCGCTCTGCGAACAGGGCATCTCTCTGGTCAACTACGTCTTTCCATCCCCGATGGTTCTAGGACCCGACGTGGTGCCATGGCTGCCATGGGGTCCGCTTCAGCAGAGCATAAGCGGCTCTGAAACATTGTGTGAGGTGCCCAGCATGCTGGTCTACGATGCAGGTGGCAGAGAAAAGGCAGGGCCTCGAAATAGCCGGCATGCATGACCACTCTTCGACCAGACGTCACCTGCAGGTGGCTCCGCAGGTGGCTGTGGCCCTGATGGAGGCACCTGGTGTTCAAGAGCAGGGAAATGCACCCAAATTCCTGCAGATTGCTTTCCTGACCATTACAAGAGACAAAGCGACAGAGTACCCAACTCGAGGAACTCGAGGCGAGGGTTGTCTCGGGATCGGTGCCAGGAGCACAACGTGAAGGACATCATCGTCGATGCAGACTACGAAGACGGACAGTCCTGGCCTTGGACTCTCCGCCTCATGCACGTGCAGCCGTGAGGTGCGTGACTGGCCAAGTCTCGTGACAGCTGAGGCCTCTCCGAAGAATAAGAAGCTGTTTCCGCTTCAAGCCGGCCTGGCCTGTTCGAGAGCAGTCGAAGTCTATGACACGACGAAGTGACCACTTATTCTGTGCCGTTCGGAGTCGGATGGTCGAGGAGGAGCAGGGGCTGTTGCTTCGCGTTTGCTTGGTCTCGCCTCGAGCTTCCAGGTGGTACTGCTGCACCTCCCTCATGTCATCTTCTGAACAAGGAGTCGCCAGGGCCTTTTCTCAGCGGGCTATTCTCGCTTCTGTCCTGGCTTCCTCATCATTGGAGAGATTCAGAATGCATGCTGCACATGCAGTTCGTTCGCGACCTGGAAGTCCTCATGCAGAAGACGCTGGAAAACGAAAGGAAGAACGCAAAGTCCTCAGGCCTTTCGTCGTCCTTTGAGATCCCAAGATGCCCAGGTCTTAGAGGAGATGCGCCAAACCTGGGACACCTTCTTGAACGAAGCCGCAGATCTCTGAGTTTTGCGGGTTTCTCTAGTTTTTGGGGCTTCCAAAGTCTAATTAGGTTTTAGGGCTTCACATGTCTTGATGTTTGGGGTTCAGGATGGTTCAGGAAATCTGGCTTTGGGTTTGATGAAACTTTGGGCTCGGGTCTCTAGGGTTCAGGGCCAGGGCTTTGTTGGAGTAGGCTTCAATGAGGTTTCACTAAACCATTGCCATTGCTGATTCCTGCCATTTCGCTACAGGCAACAGTTTATGTGTGCACATAAGGTCTTAATTCACGCGAGCATGTCTGGATGTCCCGTGTGGAATCAACTGTACACAAAAGTGTGCATGAGTCTTGGTGCATAAGACAAGTTATAAAGAACACGTATACCGAAATCGAAGTACGAACGGCGATATGGCAGTGCACCAGTATGGATGAGCAGTGGAACTGTACTTAAAACATATCATAATCTTCATCACACACAATGCAGAGACAGAGACGGAAACAGAGGCACACCCGAACGAGTGCGCCTCCGTCCGCATCTACCAACACCGCTTGATTTCCTGCATCCAAGTGTTGGTATCTCCACTCCTTGACCTGATAGGGCTTAGGGTTTCTGACTGTCTGGTGAGGTCATGCCTATCCTCAAGGAGCGACCCAGAAGCTTTGTACGTGCTTGCGTTCGCCGGCCAGCGGGGCAAGCAAGCCTGACAGAACAGAAAGGCTTATGGACGAGTTTCCTGGCTTCGAGATGCTCTTACATCAACAAAGACGCTGTACCTAGTCTAAGCCTTCCAATTAATTCAGGTTCGCACCCTCAACCCGGAACGCCAATTGGCGATCTTCGCAAGCTAATCAGCAAGTCAGAGAAGGATTTCGACAGCCGCTCTTGAGTGTTGAGAGCAGCGTACTGCAGCCTGCAGGAGTTTCGGGAAGCAGCGGCCTCAGCTGCAGAGCTCACGGGATCTGGGACAAAGGTGTCGGATTTTGGGTAGAGTCTGAGCTTGCAGAGCGCGCCCCGGTCGAGCTAGAGTGCGCTTCCCGCGTTTTGGGTATCTGGGTTCAAGGTCAGGCTTTCCAGCGCTTGCCAATCCCCTTTGCCACAGTTGAAAGGTCTGGTTACGATGATGCTGCCGGCAATGATGGTGATGAGCATGATGATCCTGATGATCCTGATGATGATGATGCTGCTGCTGACCCTGATCCGGGGTGTGAACAGGTCAAAGGTTTGTGGAGTTCGATTTGCCTGCATGCTTCTTGTGCCCGACTCGCATGATCACGCTTGCTTCTTGCACCACAGGCACAAGCGCAAAGAGCGGCACAAGGAAGTGGGACAAAGGTGCCCCACGGTGTTGCAAGGGACCTTTGGGCTTTTGCACAGTGAATGTCAAGGTCGGGCTTCACGCCCGGTATGCGCACTACGCACTAATATATTGGGAATGCTGCAGACAGCCTTCATCTGTGACATCTCGTGAGAATACTCAATGTAAAGGGCGATGGAAGTCGACGGTGCTTTGTCTGACAGGTTTGCATAAATCCTCTGGGTTCACAGAGGTGGCATAACCCTTTGGCTTTTCGAAGCCAGTTAAGTGCTTCTTCGCAATCTATGCCAGTGTTGTATGTTATAACAAACGTAACAAGAGAATAAAATCAAGGAGGAGTAAACAACATTGGCGTCCCGCATGCAGTTTTCCAGGGTTTTCCAAGATTTCAAGAACTGAAGAGTGGAGCCAGAAGCAAACGCTCTGCGCAGCCCTTCGAGATGTACTACACTGGCAGTACCCTCTACAGCAAAGAGGCATGGCCACAAGTTTCAGGGTTTGGCAGTCAATTCAATTCGGATTGAAAGAGGCATCCGCCAGGAATCTTGGATTTCGTCAATCCTTCTAGTCACTGAGACACAGGAGTCTTGTTTGCTGCCGCCCGCCGGTAGCCGGTGTTGACACTGAAACCTTCCTTTGCGGAACTTGCGATATGAGGGTTCGTTTGCCATCCGCGATGTAGGAAGCTAGGAACCTCTTCCTGTCCTAGAGGGCCACAGTTGATGATGCTTTGCAACCGTCGGGAAAATTTAGTTCTTAATCGAAGCATGACGGTTCCTTGTCTTCAAGCAGTGGATTTCGAGTGCGGTTCATGTAGAGTGTGCGGCTCCCAGCTCTGAGTGGACTGGCCGTAATACTGCATGAAGGGCCTTGCTACCCCACAATCTGAGTACGGTCTGCCATAATGGGGAGTAGTCATGCAGAACCGGGGGCTCTTGAGTCACACTTTTGAACGCGGCTCTCTGGAAGCGAGTGAGCCAAAAGCGGTAACATGTGAAGCATGGCTGTATGACGGTATGCAGCTGTTTCGGCTTCAGCGTCGTATGCAGCACCCTGCGGGAGGGGTGCCGGCATCAGTCAAGCTACTGCGGAGGGCCATGCTGGGGTCTGGCAGTCGAACATGAGAACACGCCAGAGCCAGCATATTGGTCAGCAAGCTGTTCTGTTTCTTGCACAGATCTTCGGACTGCTTGCTTGGAGCAGTCCCTGGTTTTCCATGGCGCGGCCACACGATGAAGCCTGCATGATGGCGGCCATCAAATTGAGTGAGGACCTTGCCCCTGAGCCTGCGGGAACAAGGGTTCAAATCCTGACTCGTGAATTTCTGCAGCTGCCTGCCTGTCCCGGCAAGGCTTCTGCACCAACAAAAACAACACGATCAAGACTCCAGAGTTCAGCACTTTGTTCCTGGGAGGATGCCGCGAAGACCGGCCACATGCCGTTCGGTGCGGTGCTTGCTGATGCCGAGGGCAAGATCTTGGCAGAGGCAGAGTACTTCCGTGCAGAGAATGTTTACGCTTTGGGGTTCGTGAAACAAACGTGAAGGTGTATACATACATGCACACATATATGTCTACATTCATGCTTGAGCGTATTTATAGTTGTTTTCATTACACTTTGTATACTGTAGACACATATGTATGTTTACACCAGTTCTACATTCATTTACACTCGTTTCTGTTTGTGCTTTACTATGCTTTACTTATGTGTCTCTGCCTGTGTGTGGCCGTCTGTCTATGCATCTGTCTTTCTGCCTGCCTACCTGTCTACTTGCCTAACTGTCTGTTTGTCCATCTGTTCTATCCATTTATCTGTCGAGCCATCTATCTGTTTGTTTATCCATTCTATCTATTCCATCCACCAATCTACCTATGAAATTATCTGTCTGTCCATCCATCCATCCATCCATGCATGGATGGACGAATGCATGGATGGACGGATGGGTGCCCAGATGGAGGTGTGTATGTGTGTAGGTACGAATGTACATACGAACCTGCGTGCATGTATGTGGATGTATGCATGTACACACGCACATATGTACATGTATATGTATGCATCATATGTGTATATACACGCACATACACACACTAGACGCTCTTGCGTGCTCCGCATGCACTTTGCGTTTGCATCTTGATTATGCACATATTCGCGCGAGGGCACGACGGATATTGCATGTTCGCGGTCTGCTTGGAGTTTTCGGTTTTGGAGTTTCGGGTGCAAAAGCATGGTGCTTATGCTTGAGGGTGGCGAGGGGGTGGGTTTTGGCCAACGGGAGTGGGGGGGACACTCACAACGGGGCTTTGCTCATATCTGCATATACATATATATATATATATATATATATATATTTGTATATATATATATATATATATATATATATCTCCGTGTATTATTATGTGTATCTATGTATATGAGCATATATATATATATATATATAGCCAGACAGACAGACAGAGAGATATAGAGATATCTCTTGCCCTTTGCTTCCTGCCCCCGGAGACCCGCTGCCTGCACACAGCATACATCCACTAAATTGTAGGTCGGGCTCAAAAGCAGTAAACTGGGATCTCGCCGTTCTTCCGTACCAATCTTAGCGTACTTGTGCTTTTCGACAAAGACAAGGACCCCACGAACGTGCTGAAAGAACTGAGAAGGCAGCACAACCAGAGTAGCAAACAAAGAACGGGGAGCGGACCATGCGAGCTGGACACACAGAGTCGCGCTGATGCGCAGGGTTGGAGGGGTCCCACCCCTTCACCCCACACGCTGAGCAAGCGAGCAAAAAAGATATAGAGATGTGTATATATACATACACATTCCTATGTATATGTGTAAGTGAATGTACATTTATGTTGTAGGTGTGTGTACATGTGTATGTATGTATGTGTGAGTGACCTGTTCGGGGCGCCTCGAAGCAAGCTGAGGCATGCAAACTTTCCGTAGGTTGGACAGCAACACTGTGCATATCCCTGCTTGGTCATCAGGTTTTGCATTATGTCAAGTCCGGAACAGCCCAAGCCTAAGCCATCATTTAGAAAATATGTTTTGCAGTGTTTACCATCAGAGCAGAAAAGGTGGGTGGTTTGGTGGGCAGTCTTCGAACACCTTGGAGCCTTACGTTTTCTAGTATTCATGTCGGCATCTGACGACTTTGAGTTTTGTTCCCTTGATGTCGAGGTTCTGCTGCCATTGTTCATGCACAGTTGCTCACGCCCCATGGAGGCTCACAACCAGTCGGTCGTGGCCGCTAAACGTGGCGGTAGTGGCGACGTCACGCGCCACGCGGAGACCATGTGAACATGCACGTGTAGCAGAGGTTGGAGGTTCCGGTGGTCAGCAATGTGCTGGCCCTATGGGGTTGCTATGTGTCAGGGTACTGGGATTCGGTCGGGGTTTCGATGCGCATTTTCAAGTAGATTCGTGTGCCACAGTTCTGCTCGCTCGGCCCGAAGTCAGCGTAAATTCCAGGCGGCTTTGACTGTGTGACTCGAGCCTAGAGCCCCGCCGGCCTGCCCAGAATCGGATTCTGGAATCTGTTTTGGACCTCAGTTCCTCTGCTGAACGCCGAAAGGACCAGTCCTGTTAAGCATCCCATGGAAGGAGATGGAGTTGGTGCGAAAGATCTGCGCGGCAGAGCCTGGAGTTGCAATTCTAAGGCTGTTGGGGGTTCAGGTGATGGAAGCTGATGTTACACCTGCTTCCTTTAGCACCGCCAGCCAAGCCCCAGACCCAGCTCAGCCCTGAATCTCAAAGACAGCGACTTTTCGTGTCAATCGTTGTGCATCGTCACAACGCAGCGGTCTGTGTCATGAGCTGACGCTTTTAACACTTCGCGGCCCCGGGGACCTGGGAAGGTGTGCGAGGTCTTGCCCGTAAGAGAATTGTTCACTGTAAGGCCTTGAACAATGAGACCCTGGAAACCCTCGAAGTCCTGAGTCCTGATTTCAGTTCACTAGGCATTCAGAACCCAGCGAATTTCAGAGGCTACAGATAGATCAAAGTTGCCTTGGCTCGGCCGCTCTCCCTCGCTCTCTCTCTATCACTCTCACCCACCCCCACCCACCCCGTTCCACCACCCATCCACCCATCCATCTGCCCATGCATCAATCCCTCCATCCGTCTATCAATCTGCCTGTCTGTCTGCCTGGCTGTCTGTCTGTCTCTGTCTCCTCCTTCCCTGACCTCCCTGCCTGCCTACCTACCCGCCCACCCACGCACCCACCCACCGACACGTGAATTTATAGACAGGTATTATACCTTCATGGCATGCGGGCTTCCAGGAAAGTGGGCTTGGCCCAGAGATTCGGGCCAAGTGCACGCTGCTGCTTGGCATGGCAAGTGAGTTCACATTCTTCTTCGGAATGCTTGTGTCTTGCTATAAGCAGGTGCTGCGATGCCGTTGCCAGGAAGTTTTTCGAAATGCAAGCATCGCAAGATGGATTCAAGGTACACATCCACGGAGCCATGCGTCATGTGCGCCGGTGCTATCTACTGGTCTCAGGCGCGGTTCACGCATTACAGTATCAGTCCTCTTGCGGGAAAATCCTGGAACTGGAGCACACTCAAGGATAGCCCTCGCTAGGCTAAGGCTCCGTAGATTCGATCGGACTGCCAGGTCGGCCGGGTCGTCTTCGGTGCCAGCAGTGAGGACGAGCGAGTAGCTGCCGGCAACTCCACACTTCGACACGGCACCACGGCCTTTGGCCTCACTGACGGCAGCTGCGTCGGTCATGTAGTCGTCGGCCTCGTCGTGAAGGGCCGCACTGCGACGCAGGACTTGGTGCAGCTGTCTGGCCCTGGTGGCTTCGATGTGCCCCTCGAGCGCCTTGGATGCTTCTGGCGTCAGATGCCTCGAACTCCAAAGCCCCACACGCGCGAGATGGAGCCGCAATGCCTGGCCACTATGGTCCACTCTTGTCACCAGACTCCGACTTAGAGGCTGAGTCTTGACAGGAAGCTGTACAGCATGGGCCGCGAGGGCACCCGCAAGATCGAGATCCATGGCCCGGTACTCTCAGAGGAGCCCTTGGAGTGTTCAGGGCGACTGGAATTCTTCAGTCTTGCTTTTGTAATTACTGCTTCCTACGCTGGCTCTGTTTACCAGCCTTTTCATTTTACATGCAGCGCCACCAGAGTTTGACAAAGATCGTCACGGGCATGTCTTATTCCACCATTTCTTATTCCACCTCATGTGGGGGAGCTGCGAGGTCATCGGCGTCGTTGCAGTCCCCCACGGCCGTCTACTGTCGGATTGGGACACTGAGGTTTAGCGCCGAGAAAGCATCCGGAATTCAAGACCAGATGCCTTGTTTGCCCTGTTCCTGAAGTCATGCGAACATCGCTGAAGCGAGAGATGCCCCGACACGTCGCTGCCTCGCTCTGCCCTCCCTGCGTGCTTGTAGCCGGAATCTGCCGCGGCCAGGAGGCGATGAAGATCCATTCTGCCAGCGGCTGCTGGCGCGGCCTGAAAAGAGCAGCAAGCCCAAATCCGCCTCAGGATGAGCAGTGCTAAGTGCTAGCATTTTCCAACTCTAAACGTGCTACAAGAGGAAAGACGCGCTGCAGGCAAAGCCGCAGACAATCCTACTCTTTGGCGCGCTTCTAGCATTCTGCAGAAGTATACTGCAATTCAGTGTCTATCGGCTACCGCCCTCGGGCAGAAGGTATGCGAATTTCTTCCAAGCCGGGAGTATGCACAACGCAAGTGGGTGTTTGCCCCACCGTTCTCCCGGCTAGGCACCCTGATCCCCAGAAGTGCGTTTAATTGCCGCCCGGCAGAGCGAGCCTCACCGCCTTCCTGTTGCTTCGACAGCTCTAGAAACACAATCCTGAACCCTTGAGCAAAGCATCAGACCTGTGCCAACGTACAACAAGGATTGAATCCAAGTGACTTCGAAGATCCACCAAGCCCAGAGCCAACACGATAAGCCCGTGATCCAGGGTGCTTCTGCAGCCTCCAAGTCTGGAAGTGAAAAAGTGTCGGGCTTGGGTTTGAGGGTACCCACCCTTCGAGGAGGTGAAGCTTCGCGTGTGCTGCGCAGGTGACCGAGACTTTGTTGGGGGATCTGCTCTTGGCCGTCGGAACCTCGAGCATTCCTTGTGGTGCGAGCACTTGTTGAGTGTGCGCAAGACGTGATGTCAAAAGGCAACTTGTGACAGATCCGGGCTGGTCCATGTTGAGTCCGAGATGCTCCGGTTCTGATTCTTCGCATATCTTGTGAAAACTTGCTCGGCGGTCCCAAAATTCATCTTTGTGGACGTCCAATGATTAAACAGCTCATCTACCAAACCGGGCGGCCCTGAGTAACTGATGACGAGATTCTGGGATAGCTTTGAAGCAACCAACCCAAGGCTGTCCTGCAGGTTTCTACCCTGAAGTAGGCAGTCATTGTCGCACGCTTGTCGGAACTTCCTCACCTGAGGCTGGCTCGATGGGTTTCGTGCTCTTCTACCTTATGGTCCACACGCAAAGCGTATTGCTTGGTGCCCAGCCTTGCCACGGGTCATTCAGATCTGTGAATGCATGGCACCTTAACCGTCAGGACTCTGTAGGGCACCTTGTGGAACAAGGAGCCACGACTCGTGTCCACAACCTGACAAGAGGGGTTCCTGATGATGAGCTGGTAATCTGGTACAAGAAGGTATGGGGCCCTTTCCTCCCCTTCTTGCCGAGGCTGGGCTCTCTTGGGCTTCTCCTGATTGTGAGCGCGGCGGAAGCCTCAGAAAGCTTCCTCTCTGTGTTTGCAAAATCCTGCGCAGTACTAGTAGGTGTCTCCATCATGCATCATGCGGAAGAGGGGCTTCAACACTCCTGCTTCACTTGTGCGTAACGTATGTGACTATGCGCATGTCTCCATGAAGAAGGAAGTTTATTCTCAGTGAAAACATATGCCCGTATGTATGTACTCTGACTTGCGTGTGGGTTTCTGCGCAGGGCTTGCTGACAGGCTTCAGGTAGATATTGCAGACGGTGTGGGATAAAGCTGTAACGTCTTTCTTGTGCTATGCCTGTGACAGTACAATGCCAGAGTGAACCAGGCAGATAAGAAGTAAATGATAAAAGGCCAGCTGGCCAGCTGGCATGTGCTTTGCCCTTTCGGATTTGCCCGTGCGCATGCCAGCATCAATGGCAAGACCACAGCAAGCTTAATTTTCTACACGCAGCGTGTCACAGTGGTAGGACAGATACGAACACATTTCATCTGAGTCGAGTATTCTCGCTTAACGACATGACTGTTGCGACTGCATGCAGCCTTATTCCTTGTGGCCGCTTGTCAGATTCCACTGTCCTACGTCTTGTTCTCAATTGTGACCGGCTCGTGCCTGCCCCAGAAGTTTCAGGCCTCGGGGCTTCGAGGGCTTGTCTGCAGCACCAGCATGACTCATTGCGGTCATTGGCGTTGATTAACATCAGGTCTGACTTTGGTATGTGCGGCTTTGGCAGTCCTTGAGGGTGCTTTGCTGTTGCTTCTGTTGCATTTCTCAGTGCCATGAGCAACCGGCATGCTGTCCACCCAGGAACACAATGAGCATCGCATCGCTGCTATCGGTTTTCTTGGCCATTCTGGCAAGCTTGGGCACAGACAGTGCCGCATCTCATCATCGTTCGATGGATGTGCTGCACGGTGGGATGGGAAAGCTGTATGCAAGTCACTGGTAGCTAGTTGACGAACTAAGTATCTAATTATCTAAGCATCTAACTACCTACGTGGCTGACGTACTAACTACAAAACTGGGCAGTTGAATAAATGAACAAACGAAAAAATCGTAAATACATAGACGAAGGAGTACACAAACCGGCAAATACGTGACTGGCCAGCACATACATAAATGCATACAGCCAAGGCGTAAACAGATGCATACATAGAGGTACATAAATACATACCCACACATATCTATCCGTCTATCTACCTTTCTGTTGTGTCTCTATGTATGGTTGCTGTGCATCACATGAGCATGGTTGCCTTTTGCCGCTGCCAGATCGTCGGCCTTGGCTCGGATGTCGTCTTTGCCGGGGGGCCCAGGGCTTCGGAAAGTGCCTGGTACTGTAGGCTTTTGGGGGTGTGAGAGGTGAAATTTAGGGTTTAAGGCTTAACTGTGGAGGCAAGTCAGGGTTGAAGATTCAGGATTTCGGGCTTCAGGTTAGGTTTAGCGGCTCGAGGCTCCCAAACGTGGCCCATTGACGCCGCAAGGTCTACACCGACTTCTGGGCAGACTCTGCACTCCGCAAGGACTTTGGACACACCAGGGCTTTGCGCTTTTGGCTTCCGGGCTCAAGAAGGGAAGCTGAGGTTGAATGCGTGGGCACAGGCGCAACCTGAAACCTTAGACAGGCCGTAGCTCAGACCGACAGGTCACAGCCGGAAGAGAAGAGACCAGTTGAGGCAAAGTTGAGCATGCTTCAAGTAGCATCAAGCAATTCGCTATCCTTTGCCGGGGTCCAAAGGCCTCGAGAACGGCTTCATTGCACCTCAGGGTTTTGTCCAGCGTCAGGAAAACTTTGGCAGCCGCATGACCTGGACCTTGATCCACGCGGGCAAGGCTTCCTTCGGGCTCCAGTGTTTTCGTCTGTGTAAGTGTTTAGTGCGGGGCTTGTTTGTCAGAATTCACACATTGACATGCCATGCTGTGAATTTGGCGTGTCCTCTCCATAGGCCCATCCAAGCCTCTTTTGCTCCGAGATTAACTCGAGTGGTCTTTGTCTGCCAGTGGTCTTCCACATGAACCAAGCCTGAAACCTGACTTCAGGCGTCGTTGGCCACTTCGGTCACGACGGCGCTGTCCTTCTTCGCGAATTTGGCCTCAGCACCTACCTAAGTGAAGGCAACCGAAGGCTCGATTGCACGAGCAGAACAGGTCGCAAGACTGCGTGCAACAAAGCCACGGCAAGCAGGGCATCATCCTAGCCGAAGCTTTTAGAAAGCAGCTGTCTTCCCTGCTCCCGGTGCCGTATCGGCAGCCATCCCTGGCCGCGAACTGAGAACGCCCTGAAGCCAAAGCAGCCATCTCTGAGGTGCTGAAGCCTTTGCGCGAGTTTGGATTCTTCATGGGCTCCCTGGCACAATGTATCGCAGTATCGCAGCATGTTCAAAAATGTCAGAGGTAAGTTTGATTGGTTTCGTGAGGAAGTTTCTGTCTTTTGATTCAACCTGCAAATGGCAATGTCAGCTCGTTTCGGCTGCTTCCCACCGACAGGAGCACCTAAGAGAGCAATTTTTGCTCCGTCGCATGCCAGGCATGCCGCTTGTTTTCCCTTCTTGACTTCGTTGTCGATTGCCGAGGCCTCTGTGTCGTGGTGTGCTGGGCAGCGCCCTCGGCTTTTTCACCTGGGGCCGTATCCCAGATTGCTCCCACGTCCCGGGGTGCACGAGGTCTGCTCTAGAGATGTTAAGAGATGCATACGCTGTCGCGACGTGGAAGATTGCGTCGATTCGATAGGCATTCAAGGTTCTTTGCTTCCAATGATAGCCGGTGTTACATGTAGGAGCACCCGGACCAGAAAGCGGAATAGAGCACTCAACCCTAAACCGCGTGGTCGTCGTCGTTCCCTGGCAACCCTGCCACTCGAGAAGTTTCGACTCGTCAGGCAAGGCACACTCTCCCAAGTAGAATAATTGTGTTTATGGTCAGAAGTAGTGAAGTTCCTTCGGTGTACTATGTGTTAGCGCGGCGCTTGTATGTTCACCCTGGCGTCCCAAAACAACAACAACAGAGTAGCACCAGGACTTGGGATCGAATGTTCACGACCGGCAAGTCCGGCAAAACGAAGGAGACTAGATAGACCGGACGGCTACTGCAGTCCTCTTGTCAGGCCCCCTCAAACATGTCATGCTCTGCACAGATGGCGGTTAGGTCTTGCTCAGCCTCATTTACCTGCCGCTCTGCATGCTGACGGAGTATTGGTGTGGCAGGCTGCTGTGACTCGCTGGTCAACTATCCTGCAAAATAGGAGGTGCATATAGTTGCAGTGTAGTTACCGATGCTATTCTGCCATGTATAGTACTAAGACGGTTCACGGGGCCAACACCCTCCAGGACACTTTACAAGGGTTATAACATCATGATTGGCTATGTTGCGATGGCAGTATGAACGCAGCAAACAAGTCTGCATTGAGGGTCTGACTTAGTGCAGAGTAGTACCGTGAGTAGCATGCCGAACGTAAGCATGATCAATGATGTTGATGCACACATACACTCCTACGTGCATACATACGCACATACACGCACACAGACATGTACATGCATGCATGCATGCGTACAGACCTGTAAGAAGGGATGCCGCCCAGATTCAACTCGACAGGAGCAAGTCCCGATGTGCGAGCTTTACAGCTGCTTTCAGGACCTGTTGAGAGTCTTTTCACGCAAGGGCTCATGCATACCTTTGCAAGTCGTAAGCCCGCAGCCCCGACGCCTGAGGACAGATCTCAAGGAAGCAATGTCGTCCGTCAGGCCTTGGACGGGCCAAGGGTGATTTTCATCTTGAAGTCTGCAACATGTGGATCACGAGTCTAAGACTGGTCGTGTCGTAGTACGACCTAACTTCTTGCATATCTTTTCATGCACCTGCCTGTATCATCTTCGTTCTTTCCAGGACGAGGCATATACAAGATTAGAAGAAGGAGGTTTTTGCGTCTCCTAACATCAGCCTACTGACTGTAACCTGTCCTCTGGCATGATATTCTGTTTTGTATATCGTGGGAATGACCTCGGTGATTACTTATGGACAGTCCATCAAATGGGAAAGCACCATTTTCTATCATGTAATGTGACCGACGTGCCGCCCTCTCCCCTTCTCCCTCCACGATCCCCTTCAGGTTCTGGAAGTCATCGACGCTTGGCTTCAATACGAATCCGCCTGGACTTTCCCCAGCAAATCGAAACGGCTCAGGGTTTGTTTTGGAGGGCTCGAGGTCAGGTTTGAGGCGGGATGTGAGGCCTCGTGTAGGGCAGTGTAGGGACTAGGGCGGCTACTCTGATTTTCAGGCCATAAGAACGCTTTTTTTTACAAAAGGGGCAGCTCTTTTGTGAAAGACCCAACACCGGTTTTTATCACCAATGACGACTTCAGTTTGGCACCTGCATAAGAGCCGTTTGAGGATCATCGCTTCTTCGCAGTCACTTTGAACGAGCATCGCTGTGTTGCTGCTAATTTTGCCCTCTTGATTTTGGAATGTGCAAATATTTTGCCGTAGTCATTTTCGTAGCGTCGTCGTAGTCGTCAGTTCAAGCAAGTGAAAGCAGACTGTAGACTGCACTGGATGTAGGAATCTCACGCTGATCGCAGCCCATAGTTGTCCTGTATAGTGACTTCGCGCCACGCCACCAAGGACGAGCTCGAAGGCCAGGTGGCTGATGCCTTGACCGTTGAAAAAGAAGTTGAAGAGCCGTGTGGGCTCAGGAGGTTTTCGCAGACTTCAAACCGGCATGAAGGGCTTGGATTCGCTTCTTCCCCTGGCTTCCGCAATTGTGACGCTATGACAGGACGCACAGGCACAAGTCTTGCGCCAGGGAATGTACCACACTGTTTAGGAATTGAGATTTTGGCATGCTGCAAGGCCGCCAAAATCGACGCGTATCCATACACGCGCGCGGGCCTCGCGCTGGAAACTGTCGGGGAAAACCAGAAGGGCTTTGGGGCTTGGTGTTCGGTGTGCGTTGTGAATCCAGACCCCAAGACCCAAGCCCGACTGATGGGGTTACATTGCTGCACGATGAACTTGTGGTTGGGGTCACACCTTTTCGTGGCCCCCGTTTCGATACTCGACAGTTGTACGTTTGACGGATCACAAATCGTGTTGCATGGGTCATGAGTGCTTGGATGCATTTTGCTTATATGGACACCAGGTGGCTACACCAGATGCTTGCAGAGGGCCAAGCGCAGCCTGGCTCTGTTTCCAGTCCGGGACCCAGATTGGCTACAGGTGCCTTACGGCCCTGGGCAAGGCAAGGACAGCTTTTTGATGAGAGGCATGATGTCGAAGTGATACTGAGACTAACCGGCAAAGTTGCAGTTTAAGATGCATGCTAATGCAGCATCCAAGCTTAGGGAAATGCCACTTTCCGTTCGAGCAAGCAATGTTCCACCTCAAGCATGTTGAAGTCCGCGACTGAAAAGTTCCGCTCCTGGGAGCAGCGAGCAGCAATGGAATCACGACTCAATCGCCTTAAAAGTTCATCAGCCCACAGACAGGCTGATTTGACGTATCAATTTTTCTGTGTCATGTCATCGTACGACAAGCACGAAGTCATGTGTCTACTTACAAGCTTACCAAAGGAAATGGAGGAACAAGTAATCAACTACGCAGTGTGCTCAGTATCTCTGAAACGAATCCATAGATAAACAGGCGGATACATGAACGCATAGATGAAATTTAAATGTCGTGGACATAAAAGAAATGGCTAGCTAACGAACTAACTCGCTCGCTCGAAGGCTGCCAGCCAACTACATAACCAACCAACCGGCCATCCAATACGCACGCATGTGCAGTGCATCTGCACTGTCTTTGATGTTTTGACCAATTTCACAGTATTTACTTTGTACCTTTCCCGTTTGTTTTTCTGTAGTTACAAGGTAGGTTTTTCTGCTGATTCATGATACTTGACCCGCCTGTTTCGCTCGCCTCTCATGAAAGCGGACGCACGGCACAAAGACAAAAGATGAGACGCTGAGATTGTCGTCTCTCTCGGCCTGGCTGCCTGGGGCGCGATGGTCTTCGAGGCACACTGCGCTGCTGAGCCCAAAGCTCTGGAGTCTGGATCGCTGCTGCAGATGCTCTTGGAAGAGGAGTGCTCAGCAAGGATAGGCACCATGACGAGATCTGAAAGCTTCCCATCAAAGTAATCAAATCAGGACGGGCAGTGCCAAGCCACCCCATCAAAAACACCCCCCACAAAACTCAAACCATAGCCGGCAGCGCATCAACAAGTCGAATGGGCAGGTGGATTCGGGCGTGCCCAGCATCTTCCCGGCAGATCACAACCTCAACCGTGGGCAGCAGGCCTGTGGATGAAAGGAGATTGCCCCTTCCTTGCACACGATTGGAGTTGTGGAAACGTGCCAAGGCTTGCCAAGGCATGAACCTGTGATCGGCCGGCATGCGTCAGAAGAGCATGGCTGACGACTGTTCACGCAGTTCCTGTTCCCACTGCTACAGCAACACTCTTACTCTGATGAGTCAGTTTCACGTGCATGCGGGTGTTCTGACACTGCAGGTGTCTTTCATGTCAATGTGGTGAATGCCCGATCCAGCAAAGCCTCTGCTCCACTTTTACAGCTAGCGGTAACCTACTTCGCCTCCGCAAGATCTTCGCCACCTTCAACGATGCCAACCAGGCTGCAGATTGCTACAGAGAAGTGTGCAAGCCTGTCGTCTCTGCCGTGCTTCGAACCCCACATGCGCAACGCCAATTGCTTGATGCGTGGTTTTTGTCTGATGTCAACAGTTGTTCCGAGAAGCTTTTTCAAGGTTTCAGATTCAGGCTGTTTCCTTGTGGTCGCATTATACCGTAGGCCCTTGGTCTTAGTCTTGGGTTCGGCATTTCTCGGAGCCTCGAGTCACGCTGGAAGTTCTTGCTTGACAGTACATCAGCCATCTGTGCTCAACATAGGCTTTGGTGATTCTGACAAGTGGCGCTTTGCGCAGCCTCGGCTGTGACCAGCACAGGTTTTCAATCCATTGTGGACCATCGATACACCGCAGGCCAGGTTCCTTCGGAAGCTTCGCAATCCTGCAACTTCAGGATGCCTGGAGAATTTGACTGGTTTTGGTGATCGAGCCTGTAAGATTGTGCATAGTTGGGTAGCCGCGTCTGCGTGATTCCTCCGGATTCTGCTTGCCTGTTTGTCTTATGAACACGTTTCGACTGTGTACAGTTGCTTTGAGCAGCGTCGTGTCACAAGGGGGGTACTATTGCTGAAGTGAACATTCAAGTGAGCAACGCACTATCAGCAAGCACCCGAGTGCCAGTTCTCACCGAAAAGCCCGCACGAAGCTCAACGGCGATCCTGGGAAGCCCCCATCCGCTGGACGCCCCGTGCTTTCCCCTCCGGAAGGTTAGTGTTTGCAACGATGCCATGTTTGCGTGGCTTGGCCCGGACTGAGTGATTTCAGGCTCAGACTTGAGGTCGGCCTGCCGTTTCTTCGCAGAGCTGGAGCCGAGGCCTATGAGCACGACATACACTCCAGCAAGCTGGCGAAGACCTCAGTGAATCACGGGCTCGCGGCGTATCAAGCCGTTCTGGCTCATCCTGCGCCTCCGGCCACGGCCGTGGCCGCGTTTTCTGAGTGACAGGGCAGGTGTGTAACATCTCAGCATTCCGATACTTCTGTTCGTATGGCGTGGCATCACGCCTGTCAAGCTTCGTCCACCAAGGGGCTACAATTGCAACCTCTTCTGGTGTGAAGCCGACCCCGATGTGGAGCAATCCGAGGCCAGCCGATGTGATCTGCTTGCAGCCTCAAGGGCTGCTTTACATCTTGCTTCGGTGTGCCACGCTGCCATATTCCGTAACCTGTCTACGAGACTGCAGGAGGGAAGCTGCCATTGCTGGAGAAGGCAGCTTCCCAACACGTGCAACACGCAATCGGCGCCGGTGGTCCGGGCCCTGACATGTCCGGTTCATCCAGCATTGTCAAAATTCTTAGACTACATACCCCACATATCCGCAGTGCTCTTGCTTCCCTGACCTGGTGCTCGATACTGAGTCCTCGAAGATCTATGCAAAGAGGAAGCTTGCGGAATCGGAGATGGTAGGCCGAGCTTCCTTTTGCCGGGACGGAAGTATCGCAAGCGCTCGAGGTGTAGCGACCAGCCGACATGAGCCGCTCAAGCACAGGGTTAAAATATCGCACTCTGCTTTTGGAGACGCTCAGCCAGGATGGCTTTCGCGGTGTCAACTTATGTCTGCTGTGAAGTCATGTAGACTCTCCAGGTCGCCCGGCATAGTTCCGTGCTCCTGCGGAATGTGCAGTTTCACCACCTTCCCATCCAGATGTGACAACTGCAATACATCCAACAAAGCCATTGCATACATCCTGCAACTGGACTCTCAGAAAAACAAGACAAGTGAAAGTCATCGAAGCTTCTTTCGGGAGGCGCCGTGGCCGACTACCTCGCAAGCGCGGAGGGGATGCAAATGACGTCTGCCCAGCGGCAGAGCATGCAGAGGCCAACATCCAGTCGCCACGGGGACAGGTTGGAAATACCCAAACTTGAGAGCCTTCAGCCCGAAATTCCGAACGGCAGACCGCATTGAGCTTACACCTGAAGCCACATGAAGAGCCTTTCCTTCACAAAAACACTCGTCCGAGGAGTCGAAGTCGAAGCCCAGGTCTTTCGTGGCACGGCGAGCGAATTCGCCCTGCAATCCAAAAGATTTCTTTTGAACCGGGGACCCCAAACAAACCGCAGACACACACCGAAAGCTTGCTAGCTGCTAGCATGCTGTTGAACAGGTGGTAGACGGTTGCAGCAACTTTTCGGGTGTTCAGCATCCAAGTAGTAGATCTGGTCTAGCTCGGTTGCGTGATACAGGCCCGACCCGCCACAAGTATATAGCTCCAAGCTCATCGTCCGACACTACGACACATCAACTATCTTAACAACGGTTTGAGTGAAGTCTCAAGGCCCCCGCACCCCTCACCTGTGCTCTCCACCCTAAACTTCCGAATCGGTCAGGGCGACTGTGATAGCACCAGTCGTCACAGAGGTGCCGAGCTCATTCTTTGAGCTTCCCTATCGGTGAGTCGTCGCGTGTGTGAAGCCTTCGAGTCCGGATTTTAATCAGGGAGAGCGAGCAAGAGAGGTCCCTGATATGGAGCTCTTGAGCCCTTTTCGTCTTCAGTGGTCCGTAATGATGTCTCAGCTGCTTGGATTCAGACAATGCGGCATCGTGTTGCACTGCATCGAAAGCTGATCCACAGCCACCACCACCCACCACCGCCCACCACCACCCACCACCACCCACCACCGCCCACCACCACCCACCACCACCGCCCACCACCACGCACCACCACCCACCACCACCACCCACCACCACCCACCACCACCCACCACCACCCACCACTACCATCACCACCGCTGCTCCAACTGAGGACGAAGTGCTATTCCCACTACCACTACCACTACCACTACCACTACCACCACCGCCACCACCACCACCTGCCTGCGGTGTTCGAATCCTTGTAAGTACTCGGAGGTGAGGTCTAGACACAGCGTTGCAGCACGGTCGTTGCCTTTTTTCTGCTCACGAGGGCACAGGCTCAAAGTTAGGTGAAACGGCTCCACTAGCTTACGCTTGAGCCAAAACGTTAACGCACTTCAAACCTGCACAAAGAACTAACAAGCAGCCCACTACGACTGCTACGAAGCAACCACCCGGGGACTAGGCCTTCACTGCCTGTCAACCTTCACATACCACCGCCGCTACCACTACTACCACACCACCACGTCACGACGACGACTACTACCACCACCACTTCTAGGCCTTCAGCACAGGTTTGGCAGGTCATATTTTTTGAGGAAAAGCCGGGCCCAAGTCTCCTAAGGCAGCAAAAGCCTTGCACAACAAATTCTAAAGCCACCCTGCTCTACCACCACTTGGCCTCTACCCTTCGGGGTACCAGCTTCGCGAAGTCCTTGTCATCTGAAGGAGTGGGAGCGAGGGGTGAAGGAGGTGCGCGAGATTACCGAGGCACTGGAAGAGCAAAGAGTCCAAGCTTAAGGGTGCAGGGATGAGGATGTTGCTGCAGCTGCCAGTCTTCAGGTGGAGGGCTTGGGGTAGGGCTTTCCGATGTTTTGAGTGCAGGGTGTCTCTGAAGCTCAAGTCATCGTGTGAATTAGAGTAGTCACCGATTCTCCATTAAAGACAGACTGGGCTCCATGACGGACCTCGTGATGAGAAACTTCGCCTGCCAGCGCAGGGCTGACGTCACATTTCAGAGTTTTCCAATGGCTTCCAACCGTTAGGCGCCCCTCATTCTTACTCAGCCGTGGCACCATGTCACAGAACACGAGGCAGTGGGGCCCTTAACAACCTGCTAGACCCTAGAGCTCACGCCCTGAGCTGGCCGAGCCAAAAAAGGAATGACCCAGACACATGCGTGAGTTCTCATTTCTTGCCCAAACCTTTGTTGTACGTGGTGTGGAATGAGGACGATGGCAGCTTTTCTTCCCAAAGGCTGTCAACAGAGAGCACATGCCGGGTGCGGGAGAACCTCACATCTCGACTCCCAGCATTTGCAACCATACCATCGCATGATGCGAATTTACACAAACCGCTTTGCCGCGATTTTTAGATTCGCGAACATATACTGCCTGCTGCCTCATATGCTCGCAAGCCCTGGGGTGAGGAACACAACTGCCCACGAAGCCCTGAGTGGAAGGTGGTCGGCCGCCTGCAGCGGGAGAGCCAGAACAGCTCTTCCTGCGGCTTCCAGGCGCTAGGGCTGACTCCATGTATAGAGTCAGCTTGAACGTGCACATCCATGTGTCGACTTTGTTGACCCAATCGAAGCAGCAGCGTGGGCAACAGGACATGTGCTTTTGCACAACTTGGCCCTGCAAAATGTCGGGCACTTGGATCCTGTTTGCTATTCGAACTCCGCGGGATGTCCGGGGATTCTTCACGATCTTGACGTTCCGTTTGTGGAGCACTGAGGTTGGGCACTGGATGGCAGCAGGCCCACGTGTACAACTGCACCAGTTGTATGATGGTGTCACGCAGTTCAGGGCGTCTCAAGCTCCTTGAGTTCCTGCTCTCTGCCAAATCCAAACAACCGAAGCATTTTCAGTTTGGATTTTCTGGAAGTTGTCCGAGTTACAGGAGGGCAGAGCCATGGACAGGATGGGTCACGTGGGCTACGAATCAGAGTCATAGTTCAAGCAGCGAGTTCAAGCAGCAACTATACTAGCAGTCGAATGAAGGCACGTACCATTTCATGATAGCAACCATGTCACCAGGAGCAGTAGGAGCACTCCGGTCTGAAGTAAGGACGCATCCAATGCTCGTCACGGATATCATATGCACAGCAAGACGTGTACAAACAGTGAGCCAGCTTACCGTGGCAACGACAGTAAGAACTCTTGCCGTGAAACCCTCCTCTTCTTCTTCTTCTTCTCATCATCATCATCATCATCATCATCATCATCATCATCATCGTCAGCATCATTCTCGTCAACGCCAGGCCTTTTGCAAGCCAGCTTGCCAACGACATGCCAAGCCACGCACCTTGCTAGACCAGCGAAGCCAACGCAAGCCAAGCTAAGAAGATTCAAGCCTGAAAAAGAAACTGTAAACATCTGCTTCTTGGAAGCAGAAGCTCTTTCCACCCTTTTTAGGTCCGTTTGCAACTGCCCCCTCTTCATGAAAATGTATGGGACAGGGCGAGTTCATTTTATACTGTCTCAGTCGTCAGGTGGACCCGCTGTCGATTCCTACGATCAGCCGCTTGGATCTGAAACCTTCCGGCAGATGAAAGTAAGCACGAGAGCAGTCGGTAAGACCGACAGAAGCAAAGTACACCTACAAGGTAGGTATGACCCATACGAAGTTTGAGTTTGGGGTTGTAGTTCAGTCATGTGTATACGGTTGTTTCTGAGAGCAAAAACTCAAAAATGTATGTGTGTGTATATATATATATATACATACATACATATCTTTGTATCTATATCTATTCTGTATCTAAATCAAATGTGTATCTGCATCGAAATCTAGATACATACACGACGGAACAATGCATGTATCGTCCTGGGTTTGCTGCGCTATGCATTCCTGGGCTTCTGACTCAGTCTCGGTAGCGATCATAAATGAACGACTACATGATTGGAGTATCTGGCCGTCGCCTACTTCGAAGCCGATATATCAACAATGCCTTGGCCAAGGGGGTTGGTACATGCCGCATCAAGCCCAGCTGCCTGCAACCGGCAGCCTACCAGGTGACCTCAACTTTACCACCAGACGCCTACAGTCCGGGCTGCCCAAGACTCATGCTCGAGGCTGGATCGGCCCAGGCTTGGGATTAGAAGCTCATCTGCTTGAGTGGGACCCAACGAGGCCGCAGTGATATTCCCTGCCAGATCTGGTTTTGCAAAGTGGGAAAGTGGCTCGAACGGATAGCTTCGGATAGGTCTCATTCGCCCGTTGCCACCTATTCTAAGCGAAGACATCGATGGGTTCACAGCAACGTATGCTACATCCTACATCGACCCCTAAACCCCAAAGCACGACCTGCTGGCCACTTTTTGAGGGAAGATCTGCCAACTGACCGACTTGAAGTCAAGTTAGTGTACATCTCTTCCAGGTCGGTTCGGCCCACAAGCGGCCGTGAAATCAGAGGCTGCCGAGGCATCCTGTGTTTTGCACCTCGGTGCAGGGTTTTTCTCCGTGAGCAAAGCTACTTTTGGGAAGGGTGTGGAGGAAGCATCACAAGAATTTACTATTAGTAGAACGAAGTCCTTCCAGGCCTCCTTAGCAATCCGCACCCACTCAACCATGGCTGCGACGGTGGAAGAAAACGATGGTTTTCCTTTCTCCTTCTCTTGTTACAGCTTCTTTTCGCTGTACTACGGCGACGACTACTCGTGACTAGTAATTTTAACGCCACGCCGCCCGCCTCGGCTGTGAAGGGAAGCCGGGCAAGGGGGTGGCAAACGAACGCAAAAACAGGGCGTCTCCAAACTTTCGGAGTGCAGGGAGGAGGATCAGGTGGAGGGTACCTGGGGTAATCCCCAAGACGCCTGGGCCTGTGGCCTCGGCGGATATCTAGTAATGCCGGTTCGATTTCGACCTCCTTTTGCACTGACTGTGCAGTGTGGCAACTCCTATTCCCGATATTGCGATTCGAAATTCCTGCCCCGGTTCCTACTCCTCGGCCCCTAAGCCCTTTCCAGCTCCTACTGCTGCTGCTGCTGCTAGTACCAGTGCTAATTACCACTGCTACCACTTCTACTACTGCTACTACTGCCACTACTGCTACTACTGCTACTACTGCTACTGCTGCTACTGCTACTCCTGCTACTACAGCTACGACGACGACGAGGACGAGGACGAGGACGAGGACGAGGACGAGGACGAGGACGAGGACGAGGACGACGACGACTACTACTACCACTGCCACTACTACTGCTCCTGCTACTGCTACTATTGCTACTGCTACTCCTACTGCTACTGCTATTGCTGCTGCAGCTGCTACTGCAGCTGCTCGGCGGGTATACGGCTACGGCTACGGCTTCGGTGGCCACTGCTACTGCTACTGCTACTTGCTGCGGCCGTTGCTGCTACCACTATGTCTCCAGCGGCTACCACTCATTCCAAAGTTGCTAGTAGAGGACTACCCCATTACCATCCTACTGCTTCCGCTTTCAGGCGCTGCAGGCTGGACCGCTGGTTCGGAGCCCTCCGACCGAGGCAGACTTCGGCGAGGCACCCAACGGCCCTGGAGGGCACTTGAGGGCTAAGCAAGCTTCAGGAAGCCCCGATTGCTCTTGCTGTAGTCATGCATACATAGATGCGCTTGTGCCCGTGTCTGTGCTTTCGACGCAATGAAGGAAAGAATTTGAAACTAATGCATGTATGCATGTGTGTATGCATCATAGTGTGTTCATTCATGCAGTGTTTTGGAGTCATGGCTGTCGGCTCTCTTTGAGCTCCAAGGCGTACAGGTTAACGGAGAAGCAAGCTTTTAAAAATAGAGACATGTGGAGACGCTCAGGACTTTCTGTACTTGTGCAAAGCGTATTTTGCAGACGGTTGGCTTGGTGTGAAGGTCATGTAGAAATCTCTTTGGAGCATGCGTCTAGGGACCACTGACATCAGAACTTCTGCTTGCTGCCACTGAGCCTTTGCTTTGTGGTGATGCTTAGGACACTCTGGACACCCAACATTCAAGCTGCGCTTGCCCAGTTGGTCCAATCAGAAGCCTAAGCCAAAGCATAAGTCTAAACCGTAGCTTTGGAGGAGGCTAGTGCGCAGCCGCGCTGGCTGCAGAACCTGAGCCTGGACCCTGGCCAGGGCATGTCGTGTTCAGCTTCAGACTTAGATAGGAAGACAGTTGAGAGTCAGCACAGCAATTACGGGATGTGCTTCCACGCCACCAATGTTTGTGTTCAGGTGCACATAGGAGAATATTACATGTACACATTTACATCCATCCACCCTTGCAGACAGACCGACAGACGGACGGAAGGACGGACGGACGGAATATATATATATATATATATACACATATATATATGTATATAAAATATACATACATACACATGTAGATATGGTATTTATACATATATATATATGTACATATGTACATACATACATACCTAAATACATACAAGCGTAGGTATGTATGTATGTATGTATGTATTTATACAGGCATATATGTATATACATATATGTGTATATGCACACGTCTATGTATCTGCCTATGTCTATGTCTCTGTACATGTATGTATGTATATACACGTGCACACATGTACGTTCACATACATTGCTCACAACAAGGTTTTCATTGTTTCAGACCTTGTTTGTCTGTTTGTTTGCTTGATTTCTTCCTATCGTTTTTGATCGTTTTTGTACACGCACATATGCACACGCGATCGTACATACATGCATGCACACATACACACATATCGTAAAAGCAATGTATGTGCGTACAGGCTTGCGGTCTTCAGCTTTGAGGCGGCTCTGGGGGTTATGAGTAGGGAAAGTTGCAGGGGTGCATTTTCGTGTTGGGACTGGCTTGCTGCTTTGGTGCTTCGAGTTTCGCTTCAGGGCCAGAAGGCTCGAAGGTCAAGGATCAGCCCGGAGGATTTGCAGCGCAAAGGCCGGTTGGAACATCCCGCAGCCGAAGCGGAGAACACATTTGCTGGTATTGGAACCCGAAAGGAAGAAAGAACGCGGACCGACTTTGGGGAAGGTAGCCTGGTTGGCGATGCGTAAGTGTGTAGATATGAGCATTACAGGTACCCGTGAGAGAAATGTTCTCAGATGTTACTAGCACGGAAACAGAATACGTGTTACTGTTATACTCGCATATGTGCATTGATACGCAGCTGCTGATGCAAATCCTATGTATGGTTTGACACATGATGATTCCAAATTGTCGGCCTAGGTCCAGCGGAATGGACTGTCGCGTCTGCAACCCAGAAGCTTGCCGCACAGATTTCCGCAATGACCTCAACGACAGCACAAGCGAAGTCTCAAACTCAAGTCGCCCGGCTCCTTGCAATGTTCAGACCCAAGCTCCCTAGTCAGAGGAAATGGTCATGCTTATGCGTATATTTCAGTGCTGAGCTTCATGTATATAGTGAAACGCTCGATGTCCCAGTCTTTCAAGCACCTAGCGATCGCGATCCACATGAAAAGCATCATGCTGAAGGCCTGCAAACCGAGCCGCCGTCGACATTATCTTCGGGATCGAGGCGCATCTCGTTCTGCCTTGTCCAACAACTTCAAGGGTCAGCAGACAGTTTAAGGACCAGACGGATCCGGACATCTGCGTGATTCATGTAGTGGACCTGTGACTCAGGGTTGAGAGGGCACGGATTAGGATTCAAAGTTATGGCTCAGTTTGACCGAGAAATCCGTGAGGTCACCACGTCGGCCAAACTCTTGGGGGAGGCTTTGCCGGAGCAGTGTGCCGGCAATCATAAGATCTGAGACAGCGAACACCTTATCTCCTGCATGCAAGCTTTTTCTGCAAAAGCTGTCTTCGCAGCTGGTGCAGCTGTCTGGTTTAGCTGAGGCTTGCGGCGAGAGGTCTAAGTGGCAAATCTGTGCAGGTCGATTTGGAGAACGGCTGGCAATTCGCAGAGTTACACCAGGCAGTCGGACGTTTCGCGCAATAGTTTCTGTCGTGCACGAGACAAGGAGGCACCGCAGGGCTGCAGTCAATGAGCGTAACACGAAAGTGGGTAATGGTTAGGAGTATGCCCAAGGCTAAAAAGCTAGGAATTGGCTGTACATGGTGCTGGTACAACTCACGACCACTCAAGATCAGTCGGGGATACCTGCATGGTGCACAGCCTATTATGTTTGCCGGCAGGGTCGCATTGGCACTACGTCACCAGCACGCATATCGAGCGAAAGTGTACTGGAGACCAAACTGTATTTGTATAGCCACATGGATCGCTGATATTTCCTTTACGCAGTTGGACACATGTTGGGGTATGCATTTGTTCATCGACCTCGTTGTGATCTTGCGAACTTGCTTAATTGTTGGTGCCCTGTTCTCATGTTCTCAAGCTTCTACTCAGTCGGTTGGGGGCTCATCATTTAGCTTCTGCTAAGCTCGCCCATTTGTTTTGATGCTTGTGCATGTGTTTGGTTCTGCCGGTGTGTTAGTTAATTAGTCAGTTTGTTTGTGTGTTCGTGCAGACAAAGTTTGCTTGTTTGGCTGATGGTTTGTCTGTCGTGCTTTGCATTCCTATGAGTGGAAATCCACGTCTCATTGATGCTTTTCTTTTGCTTATTGCCTTCTTGCAGAGGTATGGCATGCAATGTACAGCGGAGTGCATGTGCTGGTCGGTTGTCGGAAGGTGAGCCAGCCATGGGCGCAGCGCAACATGTGCCCCCCCCCAACTGGCCCTACTTTCGACTGGAAAACGACTGGGCGAATCAATTCACCTCGTTGTTCTTTGCGATTCCTTGTAGCCAGACATGTGGTGGGAGGGACCTTGCTGACAGTCATGTATAGCTTTCCTGGGACGAATATGAAAATCCTTGCCATCAGTCTTGGACGCCCGAAACAGGGTAGGTTGTCCCAGTTGCCATCTTCGTCTTCGTAACTCGCTAGTATCCTGTCCAGATGAGGGCCAAGCAGAGACATTGCTTGCTTGAAGCTGTATTGCAGGTACAGTTTCTGCACCAGCATGCCGCGGGAACTCCGTGTTGTGGAGCGCAAGCAGGGTCGCCTGGAAGAGTGGTTGAGTATTGCTTCGTACGATAGTGTGTAGTTTCATTGCACACAGGTCAAAAAGAGACAAGGCACCAGTTGCCACACGCTTGGTGCTTGTCTAGCCTGGCCTGAGCGGAGCCAAGGTGCTGGATGGAGGACTTCCGGGCCTATCTGCTGAATCGCTGGGTGCTTAGCATGCGCCTGGGGTAGGGTTTTCCTCCAACCGTGCTGTCTTCTTCATTCCCTCAGGTCCAAGCTGTTTTCAGGTCATATGGTGCAGACATTAATCCCAAGTAGTAGCAGTGGCCGTGGCAGCAGGGGTACCACTAGTAGTGGCTCGAAGCAGAGGACCAGTAGTTTTTAGCAGTCGATTTTTCCTGGAACGGCACACAAAGTGATTCCACACCAGGCAGCTGCATGACTTCGCAAGCGTTGAGTTGATTTTGTTTCACAGCCCGTCTTTCCACACGAGGTGGAGATCGCTTCCCCATCATCCCGTCGCAGTTTGAGCAGCCTGCGCCCAAGCGATCTTCGAGGGTGGATGCCACCTGAAGTGCAAGAAGAGCAGATCCTGCCACTGCACCCGTCCGAGGCAGATCATTCCCTTTGCTGAGGCCACACATCGCACATCTGACGGTTTTGATTTCCAAACTTCAGCTAGAAGTTCGCTCGTCGTTCTGATGCACTCACCGTGATGCTGACACGAGCTGGGGCTCGTGCACGGTTGTGGTGGCTTGAATGTCTGAGTGGCCTAAGCTGATAGAGTGAAGCTCGCAAATGCAACGTTCTGCAGTCCTGGCTCACCGGCATGCACAGCACGAAGGACTGGGACAGGGAGTGGTGCTGCTTTCGAAAGCGGACGTAGTTGGCCACACCAACTTCTTCATGGCCAGGACTACATGTGGATTCGCGACGGCAAGGCAGCTGCGGTTCGGTGTAGAATGCCGCACAATCGGTAGCCTCTTTGCCGAAAGAACTCAATGTCCAGAGTGGGCCGTGAATCTTGACAAGTCTTGATCGGCATCTGGCGCTGCATGTTAGGGCGAGCCGGCAGGTGAAAGCATCGTACATGCTGATGAGCGTGGACTTCGAGCGCTATGCTGACACCACGCAGGGGTCTTGTTGAGCTTTACGGCAACTCTGAATGCTGAGTGGGGTATGTGCATCTTCCTTCTGGCCCTCCGAACAGATTCACGCCACACCACACTTATCATGTTCGTGGCGGATCAGCATGTACTGTGAGTTCTCAGGTCTGCGATTGAGTACAAGAAGCTGTGGGACAAGCGACTCGGTGTTTTCCTGCCACGAAATCTAGCATGACATTTAGCCATAGCGACTGTTGAAGGTTGATGTCGACAGTACCGAGAACCTTCCGCAAGGTACCTCGAGGACTTCAATTTAGATGCCTCGATCTACACCAAGGGAGCCCGCGCCCTGGAGCTAGAGCTTGCATTTCCTGCATTTCAGCCAGGCGACCATCTAAATTTTGCTAAGCGTGGTGCACGTTTTGCTGATGACTAGTGGGCCGCCGCCTGCTACATCCCTCAAGCTGAAGGCCTGGCATACCTCCAGCCTCTGGGTGCGAGCAGAGGCTCGGAGCGGGGGAGAGTACTGCAGTACCGTTCAAGTAGTGATGTATCCTTGGCGATTGCTGTCATTCACTCCTCTCCGCAGAGACCAAGGGAAGCATCATCTTGGACTCGGAGTTCGCATTTAAAGCGTCTTGTTCTGCTTCGCAGCATGAGGCGCAGTCGGCACTTATTTCCAGTACGATTCTGACCATTGCGACTCGTCAGCAAGTTCCGAGCACCGGGGCGTTAGAATGCACACGTCTAGGAAGACTTCGAGCGCGCGAAGTGACCTGCCAGTGCCGTGGAAGGCATCTCTCCGACCTATGGAGATTGCCACATGAGTGCAACGGTAGTGGTCGGCTACGGTCCGCACAAGAGAGGGAGAGATGTGAGTGAAGAATAAAACAGGTCTGAGCACCCGGATTTCTGGCCAGTTCAAGGAGCTAGCACAATCGTATCGGTAATGGCAGGGAGATTGTCCCCCCGCCCTTGGTCAGACAGCACTATTGCAAAGCAATTGCCCAGGTGATCGTGGTTGGCCTGGCGCTGCTGGGTATGCTGGCGCACCTGGCGGGTTAGTCTGTCCAGCTTCTCGTGTTCCGAGCTGGAGAAGCAGATCTTGGTCGTAGAGAAGCAATAGGGCGTAGCAATAGGACTGCCAAAACAGTGCAGGGAGTTCCTGGTTATTTGACCTTATATGCTGCAAGCTTCCGTTGCTGCAAGCAGCACAGTAGTTGGAGTGCAACTTCTCCAAGCCTCGCGAAAGCCGAACACTTGAGCCCCATGACAGGTCTTCACCCGGGACTGGAAGCTGTCGATGCTCGTGGTGGCATCAACCATGTTGGCTCGGCTCTCAGAAAGAAGCCTTTCAAGGCCTGAAGATTTCCATCTTTCGAGGCTCCTGGAGTTTCGGCTCAGCAGATAGTGTATTATAGGGAATTCATCGGGTTATATGTGATGCTGGGCTCCTCAGCTTGTGCAACCTCTCTGACCCGCGATCTCGAGGTGGTCTGTATTCTGTTCTGGTTCATCGTGGTCGTCATGGGCTGGCCGCCTGGTCCTCGGCATTCACACAGCAGGGTCGGCCTTCGAATTTCACGAGCGATCCAGACAACGGTTTCGGCTAACCCCGTGTGGATTCGACAAGTGGCAGGTTTCGACGTGTAATCTGTCTTCAGATATTGCTTGACTTCAGCGCTAGTAATGATGACCAGGTAAAGGTGGCTGAGCGAGGCATAATGCTCTCGGGTGCCACAACTTTTCTCAGTGTTCTTGCACAAGGTGGTTCAGAATTTCACCCTGCAGCAAGCAGGATTGGAGCCATCGAAGTGATCGCGCTCATCGTCTTCATTGGCTATGCCTGGATCCTGGTGTTGAAGCATTTACGTTTTGCTCTTTAACAATTGTGGACGTTACGAGGGGTTCTCTAGCCGAGACTCTAGCCCACATCTTGTGAGGCTGTTCTCCTGTGTATTGTGTTGAGGCGGTGACCTACTCCTTGCACATCGCTCACAGGCTCGCTTTGCTGCGAAACGATCCAGTCTGCCCTTTTCGTCGACGGCATTCTCGCAACCAATCCGGCTTAGCGTAACTTAAATGTCGCACGTTCCAGGCCGTTGTTCGCCTTGTATGCAAGGAACCGGAGGCAAAATTATGCAAGACTAGCGTGAACTTAGTCGAAGGCAGTCTCTAGTTTAACAGCTTTGCACACTTGGATACGTCGTATCTGAACATTTGCCCCCTGGGCACCCTCAGGGACCGCTGAGCCCCGAGCTTTCACAGCGACTCATGTCGGCAGGTATGGCAGCGCTGATGCACAGGACGCGCTTGTTGATGTGACGCCGGGAGCTCAGCCACCTGCTTGAATCGTGTCAAGTTGAGGAATGTTTTTTTACGTCGCATCGCTGGTGTTTCAAATTCCATTGCACGTGCTTTCACAAACGCTTGGTTTCAACATCCGTTCCCCGGAAAAGTTTGAGGCCCGATGCGCGCAGATGTAGCAGACAGAACGGAAGTTTGTGGCTACGTTGCGACGAGGGTATTTAGCTTCGGAGCATCAGCTACGTTGCACCAACGATCGCAGAGACCCTTCGCCCGCTCAGGGATGCCGACGTCACGCGCTTCGTGCGCACGGTCTACGCCCTCGGCTCCATTGGCCGGGCTGCGCTGGGGTGCCGCTCTCAGCGCGTCAAGCGTCTGATGTGCTTCGAAAGATGGGCTAAGATAGATCGGCCTGTAAGTATGCGCGCGTCTGACCTGCGGTGGGGTTAGGTGGAATGCTTGAGCTGCATCTTCTTGCATGCACCTCTGCGTGTGTGTCTCGATGGCTTAAGTCAGTACAGAGAACTCTATGGCAGCCATGCAGGCATAAATACAGACGTGTAGATGTCTGTAATCGTTCGCTTGCGTGTTGTTGCTTGCTTGCGTGCTTGTTTGTTTGTGTGTCCTCACATCATGAGTGTTCTGAGAATTTACACCTGGTTCTTGCATTGCCTATTCGTGAGACTGAGACGGTCGCAGGAGTGCCGCCACAACGGCGGGCTGCTCCATCTTCTTGGTCTTCTGCACCCTGACCATCTTCCAGAAGCTCGGAGGTGGGGCGGTTTGATTATAGCACAGCGCAGAAGCACCCTGGGCTCCTTCTGTGGCCGCAGACAGGCTGAGAGTATCCTGAATGCAGGTGTGGTGCTCGTAGTTACCCTGATGTCCATCGGGGTGGCGCTTATCCCACTGCCGGCCACACTTCTGTGGGTGACAACCTCAGCTTGCACAGGAGGGCAGCGATGCTTTCAGGGTCAGTTGGGGCGACCAACAAGTCTGAGCAAGTGCTCCGAAGTTAACACACCAGTCCCAAGATGCTTGAAGACAGCACCTTGAAGTGCAACATGGCCGTTCCCTGGACTGCGCTTGCAATGCGAGTCCCCTCCATGATGATGTTCATCATCAGCCAGTATCAGTAGCATTGATGATGCCGAAATGGTTGAGAGTATCATAATGGTTCTCAGTCTTGTGTTGGTTTTTGCATTAGCTGAATATCCGAGACTTTTGCTGTTGCTGCTGGTGCAGATGTTGATGTGCTGTAATGTAAAAGGATTTCGTAACACCATTTGCAGACATCATCGTTACGGTAGACGCATTAACAGCCTAGCCTGTCGCCGTGTCATGTATGCGAGTGTATGTGTGGTCGTGGTGGTAGTTTGTTGTGGTTCCTCCTTCGCATGTTGCCAGAACCTCATGGCTAAAGTTCGGGGGCCGGCCGTGCGGTGTCAGGGGCCTTCTGCAAGCGCTTCAAATACCTTGCTTGATGGATAGACGCTGGCAGCATTGTCTGGCTCCAAGGATGGGCCTGCTAACTCCTGGCACCGGAGTCGATATTACCATTAGTGGTATACTTCTTGAGCTCATTCTTAAGAAGTGGAAGAGGAGTGGTGCCAAAAGAAAGATGAGCGCCGTTCGCGTAGTCGCAAGAGTATAGTAAAGAAGCACTAGTCACTAGTGATAGTCGTACTCGCACCAGTATGAGCACTAGCATTGTATTTTTAAGAATTTCTAGTTTAACAAGGATCAATTACTGATATATTCGAGACGAGCAACAGTAGCTGGAGCTGAAGTAGCTTTGGTCTCGGCTTGTCATCGTTTGCCTAGCCGGAAGAAGTTTCCCGTAGGTGCCAATTCAGTTTGATCCTGTCGTCTTTCGACGCGGTGATAAGCCAGTGACATGCGCGTGTATTGCGCCTAATGCATGCAGCGCGGACCAGACATGGGCAGACCTTCCCTTGCCTCCCGCCAAAGTGTACTGCATGCCTTCATACAGGTGTTTATCGACGACGAGTGGCTCTTACAAGGCGTTTGGTTCAACCTGCTCACTACTCTGGGCTGCGTGCATTCCATGATGTTCGGTACTTTTCATATGGATTTCTTCATGCAGCGAGGCCTTACTGCCCTGGAGGTCGCAGCAGTGCACAGCTTCTTTTCGATCTGGAACCCTTTGAACGACATCTTTGCGGGTTTGTTGGTGGACGAGTGGGTGCAGCGAGGCTTCGGCTCCCGGCTTCAGCTCGCTTTCTGGGCCCAGCTGGGCTACGCCTTGGCCTCTTGGTTCGCGTTTCAGGATCTCTCTTCTATGCCCGTTTGGCTCCACTACGCCCTGGCCATCAGCTCCTCAGATGGTTTTGCGGCCGTTGCAAGCGCTGTCAACGGCCTCGTGATCATCGAGCAGACAGAGGAAGATCGCCAGAGGATCCAGATCCAGCGGATCAATTCCATTTTCGGCTGCTGCGAGTGGCTTGTCATGGCTTGTGCCTACTTTCTCTGGGATGCAAGGCCCGCAAACTGCGGGCCCTTCCGGAGCTACCTGACCATAGTCTGCCTGCTCTCCGTTGCAACCACCGCAATGGCCGTGAAAGGGCTCCGGAAGTCGGCCACAATGGGTGCCAAGCTGGGCGCCAAGGGCCGCCTGCGCAGTGGAGGGGAGACTTTCTGGCAGCGCCTGAGGCCTTTCCTTGGCACCTGGGCTCACTTTAATGATCGAAGCTTCTCACTCTAAACCGTGCAAGCTTCTTGACAGAGTGCCTCTCCCGAGACAAGGGGAGGTCACCCCACCCCAGTCCTGGCCAAAGAAAGAGAGCGAGAGAGGGAGAGAGAGGGAGTATCTGGCGTAGCGCTCACGCGCAGGGGTATTGGGGGCCAACCCCTTACCCCACACGCTTTGCAAGCAAGCAAGCAAGAGGGAGTATCATCACTGGGAACATTAAGTGCCCAGGCAGCCCACTTGCCAACCAGTTTCACGCCGAACACAGACCAAGGCGGAGCGCTCGCGCGCAGGGGTTGCGGGGTCCATCCCTGCGCCCCAAACGCCCTGCAAGCAAGCAAGCAAGGGATAGAGAGGGAGAGAGGTGGAGGGAGAGTGTGGAAGAAGAGACCGAGAAAGAGGGAAGGGCGAGAGCCTTAGCCTGCAGGCGGGTTGTGGGGCAACGCGGCAACCAGGCAAGGGTGACCGTCGAGTTTTCACTCGGACCCAAACCAAAGCTGTGCGTGACTTCACGCGGGAGCATGCATACGTGTGCATGCTCCCAGTTAGCTGAAGAAGACAGAGCGAATATTGTACTATGAACGTGTCGCCAAATAGTTGAGCCCGCCCCGAAAGGCACGGTGCGGAAGCATCGGAACTTCTGGCGCTATGCCCTCCTGACTGCTGCGCTTGAGGCAGAGGTAGTCTTCTTCCGTCAGTTTGATGCCCTTTGGCTTCACAACTGCTGTGGTACTTGGGTGGGATCCATATTCGACTTTCTCCTCCTTACAGGTGTGTGAGGCTTCAGTGCGCAACGTCGCTAGCACTCGGAATCGGAGCTGATGTGCTTAGCTTAGCCATTGGACTTTGGTCGCGCTGCGGAACTGGACGGTCAGGTCGTGCTGATACGCGTGCTGTTGACTTCGTGGCCCTGGGCTTCAAAGCTGCTGCTCGTCGTTTGCGATCCTCTCTGTGGCACATTGTCATTTGCTTTGACGTGGGTGGCGGAGAGGCGCGGAAGAGACAACACAGCAGAATCTCAGAACTTCCCAACAGAATGTTCAGCCTGAGGCCCCACATGGGCATCTACGGCGTCAGTTTGGTGGCGCTGAAAGCTCGGATGTGCGTTACTTGGCAAAGAGTGGCTATTAAACGAGTGGCTATCAGCACATAGTGCGAGATCAGCGAAACTCATACTTGGTGTTGACGCGTAAAGCGGGCAATCAAACACAGGCGCAAATGCAATGCCTTCGGTCATAGCCCTTGGGTGTTGATAAGACTGAAAAGACTGCTCACCGCCGGTAGCATTTCGTTAAATCCTCTCGCTGAGGTGTGCGTGGTGGCAGCATCCGTGCTTGCACTGTCCTGCATAACCCCGCAGGTGGCTGCATCGGCATTCCTGTGAGAATGCGGGTTCGGTTAAAGTACTGTACTTCAAGAATGGGTTGTCCGAAGTCCGTCAGAGAGAGATACCGAGGCTTGGATTTTCGGGATCTGTGAGTTGCAAGTCCAGACTGTTGCCATGAGCCCGGAAGTCCCGAACGCTCAAGCCAAGAACTCCAAATAACAAGCCGCGAGGCAGAGAGTCAGGGTGGCGACGATTTCAGGTCGAATCTGCCTCTGCCCCTCGCCATCGAGTGTTACGTGTCTTGCCAGTCGCGTGAAACTGATGACGGGTTTTTTGTTGTTATCAGCATCTCTGCCTCTTCAGCTCTCGTTTGTGGGAATATTTCTGGTATGGTCGACGTGATGAGATGGTTCCGTCGTTTTGCTGGCGTGTGGAGTCTGGAGTCCAGAGGTTCAAGGGGCACCAAGGTGCGATCCAGTAGGCAGTCTCCTCTTTGTTCTGGGAGCCTTGGCATTTTCTGCATATGCAGTTTCAAGATTTCGGCCCTCGCTGAGGTCTCTTCTGCTCGGACTGCTGATGGTAGCATGCCGCGCTGCTACGCGGCCTGCTACCTCTTTAGGCGGCATTGTCTTCGCCTCGGTCATTCAGGAGCATGCAGTCATGCAGCAAGATATGTCGGTGCTCCAGTCGGACTTGCAGTGGTGAGCTTGAGCGCCCAGAACTTCACAAGAGATCCTGCGAAAGTAGCATTTTAGGCTTTGTCATCGATGTGGCTATCATACCGTCAGAAGAGTGCTTGTTCATGCTTGTTTTGCAATCGGAGTTGCCGGATGCGAACGACGAGTTCAAACCTCAAGCGCCAGGATTCCAAATATGCTCTCAAACACGGAGCGCATTCATTTGGGGGTTCTTGTAGATTGGGGGAATTGGGGGTCCCTCTTCGAAGCTCCAAAGCGCGGCCCTTGGCCCTCGCAGGAGCACGGCCTGGTTGCCGAAGAGGCTCGGGAGAAAGGCTCCGCGGACGTTCCCTTGAAGACTGCCAAAGAGATTGCGCAGACCCTTGGCCTTGAAGCTTGGACTGCTACTGCGGCTGAGGATGCCATGATTTCAATGCTCCGAGTCTTGGATCTTGTTTCCATTCCTGCAATTGCCAGCGTTAGCTTGAGCCCTGGCTCTGAGTGTGACACCTGTTGCCTGTACCTATTGTCAAATTGTAATGCCAACGATGAGTTGAAGATCAGATCCTGGTCGAAGTAATCGCAGTGCGCTTCTTGACTCGCGACTTTTGCAAGCTCTACATATTCATCTGCAACATTTCAGGAAACCGGCACTTGGCTCATCTTTACTCCATATTGCCGACGCATCTCTCTGTCTGAATATCATTAAGATATCGATGTATTGTTCGGGCTCCCATGTCAAAACACAGTCAGATCTTGATTCTGATTTATGCCTGTAATTGTGTTGGTGCGTGAAAGGAGGGCTGCTGATGCCCCAAAGAGCGCAGCAGCGGTCGACGAGGCGAAGCTGAGTCACTCCCAGCATAGTTGCAGCGGCGAACTTTGGCCTCTGCTCCATGATGTTACATTCTCCCCATTCCGTGAGTGCGGCAGGCTGGTAAGTACTGGATGCTCCGAGCGGCCCTGGTGAAGCCGCTGAACTCTCTGGGACCCGTCACTGGAAGTGCGGTGCTGGCAGCCGGAGGCATTGGGGCTAAGACGTGTGGGATCCGCTCGGAATCGACGTATGACATGTTCAGTTTTTTGGGTGCCTTATGGTCGCTCTTCTTCGGGTGCCACTGCGGTGCCCTGAGCATAGGCTACATTGAGTCAGATGGCAGCACCCAGCACCTCACATCGAAGCTCCTTGGTGGCAGAAGGTTGTTTCATGTAAAGGTGTCATTTACGAATGGACTGGGCTAGAGACACTGTTACTTCGGCTGCGGTGTGTTGATTGTGACTCAGGCTGTGGTGGACATGTGCAACGTTGCCGGTGGTTCTGCGCTCACAGAGCTGTGATGTTAGACGCAGCTGTTAGAGAAACAAGAAGCCTCGCTCGAACCGGAAGCCAGAGCTACAACCCCAGGACGTTTCAAGAGTGGAAGCCAAGGTCGTGTCGGCTCTGGTCTCTGCGATTTCCCTCTCTGCCTGGTCTGCGTTCTCTCTCCATGGGTCACGGCTTGAGGCTGTCAGGGCCATGCGGCACTCGGCGGAGCAGAGCCTCTGACGAGAAGAGAGCTATCGGTCGTTTGTGTCCTCCCTCGCTCCGAAGATGGTGCGGCGAAAAGGCCGCACCCTGTCTTGACGCAGGTGCAGTGTCAGCCCGAAAAGCAGCAACGCGGTTGCGTAGAGTGTGGAAAAACGGTTCGCCCGCAGCTTCTCGCCAGCACCAGCACCAGCACCAGCACAAACATCAACAACAGCAGCAACATCAGCAGAAGTGCCAGTAAGTTATCAGTAATTAGCACGAGGGGCTGCTGCAGTGTCCACACAGAGCCTGCATCTGTTTGTCTGCGTCACGCGAAGCTGAAGCAGTGAACCTCGCTTTATTTGCACCGTGTTGGGGATTCTCACGGCGACGGTCAGAAGTAAGGGAAATACTACAGGGCCTGTGAGGTTCAAAACCAAGACAAGTCTGCTTCCAGAAACGTTGAGTTCATTCAACCCTTGACTTTCATTCTTTCTATACCATGCCTTGAACTCTCTGCAGCCTCATCTCAGGCTGTCGGTGTTTACATGAGACATGTGAGCTTCAGAGCTATGTATGTCTGTCTGTCTGTATGCATGTACGTATGTATGCATGTATGTATGTATTGTGTGTATATACATACGTGTACATAATATAAGTATGAATATACATATATGTATATATATATATACACATATAATATATGTATGTATGCGAGTGTGTTTCTGTGTATGTATATGTACGGGTATGCATACACGCACATGCACATGTGCACACTTGCAAATCTCTCTCTGTTTCTATGTACACAGGTTTGTACGGACGTATGTCTGTACATCCGCATATTCTGAATGTTCTTAGGTTTCTCTTATCACATCATACCATATCAGATCATACCATGCCACATTTATCTGGGAGGAGTTTGCGTTAGTTTCTGGTCCGGCATTTCGAGCATATTTTGGTTTGGGATTCGGGGATATCCGTCGACGTGTCCGGGGCTTCTGATCACAGTGAACTGTTGTGAACATGAGTGTCTTGCATCTTGAAGAACAGCTGAATCCGCAACCAAACAAGGCACAACACACATCGGTCCAGATGGTGCGGGTTGGTGTCTGACGAATTAGAACAATGATACTGTCCTCTTGCTTGGGCTGAGAGTCTTGGATGTTCCGTTCGTATTTTCACCCCCTGCCAGCGTCAGCGTCACTGCACTACCCTCGTCACTGAACATGGAGCTGAGTGAAGATGCGACATGTCTATCAGAGCGCGCCTGCTCGGCGAACTGAGATGGGTCCCCTGCGGCCCGGCTTCTGCTGGTGCCTTCGCCCCTTCGAGGCTTGACAGGTTGCACACTCGTGGCTTCAGGCTTGGGTTAGGAGCTGGGTGGTGAGTGCAGGCATGTGCATTTCAGGGGGTAGGCACGGGTGGGAAGTCTTGGTTGCGCTCTAGGATCCTGTTGGGCATCAGGCCCGCCCCGTGAAGAGAATGCTGTAACCGTGACCTCCAACTTGTCATGCTTGATATTTATCGTCCCCTGGATCTGTGCCTGCGAGACCTACGACAATGTCGTGAATGCTCGGGTCGGGCCCTCGAAGTTCAAACTAGTCGGAGAGACGGCGTAGTTAGGAACTCCAGGTGATATCCCGAGGTGGGCAACTGTGTCACAGGAATGCTGGATGTCGACGTAATGCCAAGTAGCAGTCAGTCTTCTTGTGTAGTGAGCGGAACACTGAGACGAGGACACATTGCGAAACAACAGTTGCTGATCCCACAGCTGCTGGCCACTACCACTGGTACTGCTTGTACAACTGCTACCACTAGTAGTACTACTACTGCTACTGCTACCACTACTACCACCACTACTACTCTTACTCCTACTCCTACTCCTACTCCTACTACTACTACTACTACTACTACTACTACTACTACTACTACTGCTACGACTGGTATTTCTTGCTTCTGCAGCTGATCCTACTGATGATCATGGAGTTGGATGGGCACTAGCAATTGCGAGATTTCAATTGTAGTATACAACACCGTTAATGTGTAGAATAATGCAAGCGTAGAACTGTGTGGCCGTCGGAGCACCTTAATCATTCGGATGCTCAGTCTAACATGGTCGCAAACCTGGAGAAGCGACGAGAGCCGGCCCGACACAGTTGTGCGTTGCAGAGGCCGTCGGATCTTTTGTGGCTGCATAGCCTTTGACGTTGCTTGCTTCTGGCACCCTGCGTGCTGAACATTTTATGTAGCATACCAACATACCAGCACTGTTAGCAGTTTTGTCATCATACGAAGGTGTCGCAGGAGTAAGAAGCGGCGCTTTTGCTTCGGGCTCCGTTGAATGCATGAAGACTTGGCATCGACAAGTCGTGCAGCTTCGAAATGCCAGGGAGTCTCGCAAACGCCAAGAGCCACTGCCTCGATTCAGTTTGCCGCCTTCTTGTGCGAGAATTCGAGGTTTCAGGCTTTCTGGCTGGGCTGCACTGATCTGCTAGTTGCATTTCGGCAGCAGAGGGAATCCTTTATCATTGCTTCAGAATGTCAGCTAGATCGCCAAGGCAGAGGAAGGAAGAAGCAGAGCAGAAGAAGCTGGAGAAGGAGATTGCCCACATGTCAAAGCCCAGCACGTTTAAGCCGCCGGACAAGCAGGGAGAAGAATGAGCCACCTTTCATCTTTGACACGGTTTGTGATTGGTGCATCTTGTTTGCATGCCACAGCAGTTACGTGTGCTAGTGGACTTTCAGGAGGAAGCAAAGCGACAAGCTCAGGCGAGCAAGACACCCTGTGTCGGATTCCACAGCTTCTGTCACGATTTGACACTGGAGTACCTGCTGTGCACGCATATGCTATATCAGGGAATCTCACCTGCTTACAGTAAGCTCCAGATGTTCTACCAGACTCTGCCGAAATGTCATCGGATCTATATCAATTTGGGAACTTGCCCGGAAGGATCTCGGGGAAGCTGGGAGATATTGCTCAGCCCGGCGGGGTTTTGTCTTGCATTTGGATGCGTTCGGTACTTTGCATTGCTTCTTTGACCATAGTCCCCGTTCTTCCAGACGGATATTGAAACTATCCTTATCATGGCACATACCACGCCGTCATGTGCGTATTCCGCCTTGTCAGGCAGAGAAGGAGAAGCTTAAAGCGAAGCTTCCGCCAGCCAAGGATGCTGCCTCTTGAGCGTGGAGTGTGGAAAGTTATGGAAATCAAAACAGGAAGGTTTACATACCCTCATAAGACTGATCTGTGTCTTGGTTGCGTATTCACATACTCGCTTTGCAAGACGTTGCTGGCCGCCAAAAGTCGAAAGTTGCAAAAACAACGCACAGAGCCTCCGTGGTCATGAGCTTCACTGGGCTTGCAAGGATGAGCAGAAGAAAAAGAAAGAAGAGGAGGCCTGGCATGGAGTAGATGCACAGGCTTGGTACTTGCAGCAGTGTTTCTTCTGCACTGTAGGCACTGTCTGTGCATATATATATATATACACACACATACAGATGTGTATAAAGATCCATGCAGACATACATCCCCATACGTGTACACACATCTCTTGTGTGACAGCTGTGTAATGGTAATCGATTAATTTGTAGACTGACGAGTGCTGTGAATTCCATGCAGGATGCGGTCAAAGCTCAGGAGGCTGCGAGAGCCAAGGAGGCCGAGGCCCGAGGGCAAAACGATGCAAAACGCCTGAAATTCTGAAAGTGCATCCCGAACCCTGTAAACCTCAGAGCTCAGGAGCACCAAACTGGGGTCAAGATTTTAGATTAGGGCTAAGGCGGCTGAGGCCCTTTGGGTTCAAAGGACCAGGTTTTTTTCAGGGGTTAGGGTTTGTGTCGATCACACCCGCTTTGGGTTTGGGAGTCTGAAAGGAGGACTCCTGTTCCTTCTGAAAGGTGTGTCCGAGTACTTCAGGGAGGATCAGAGCGTGCGTGTTAGAGGGTCAACCTTCGCAGGAGGCCAAGCGAAAAGAGCTCGCCGCCAAGGACCTCCCGACGTGAGACAGAGCAATAGCACGTTCTTGCCCGTCCTGGGGGTTACTCGAATACTGATACTGGTAAAAATGGCGACGATTGGAAGGATCGCTGCTAGTACAGTTACAAGTTTCTGCTCCTGCAGCTGCTCCTCTGGCAATGACTGCTCCTGCTTTGACCACGACTGCATTTGATGACGAACCAGGAGCAGCTTGCAGAGATGAATAGTTGATGTTAGTGGCTGCAAAAGATGTAGTGCAGCCCTGTCTGCCGCCAGGCCAAGCAGATTGCGGCCGCCAAGGTCGCGATGAGCTAACAGTGCTGCAGTATAACTGTCGACTGGAGTCCTCGATCTTTCTCGGAAGTGACACTCTCATCTGACAGCATTCCCGTGTCCGACTACCTGTTACGCGTCGTTTGTTCGCTGGCCAGTTTGTGGTCAGCTGTTCAAGCCCTGCGCTTGCAACGCTTCAGCTCACTTGCACCGTTGGGAGGCGAAGGCGAAAGCAGCTGCAGGCTGTCCATGGATTCGTAGCAGCCTTCCTTTAAGAGTCTGTGCCGTCCGTGTATCGGTTTCCGCTTTGCAGCCTCGAAGAACAGCCGAATGCCCGGTGGAGGAACAGCCCTGATTGATGGCTTTAGACCCAAGTTGTACTCAAGTCCTAAGATGTAAGTGCAAGTCCCTATTAGGTGAAGGCCCACCGCTATATGTGCAGAACTTGGTTGCACCAGAATCGTATGCTTAGGAGCTTGTGTGAGCTTGCTGCACTTCTTCATTATAATCCGCTGGTCAGCGAAACATGTCAGCAATTTCTGCGAAGCAGCCGGCTGCAAACTGGGGGATGAAGCTTTGTGCTTTAATAGCCCTTGTTCAATTCATGCTTGCATGTTGTTAGTTCGGTCAACCGCTGCGTCAGAAGCTGCCAAAGCCGCGGCGGCCAAGCCGACAGCGACGACTGCAGAAGGCGAGGAAGTTCTTGTGAGGCTTTCGGGTTTGAGCTCGACAAGTTTCCAGGCATCCGAAGACTCTTGGCTGTTTGGCATTGGAGAGCTTCTGGAAC